AGAATACAAAAAAAATCTCCAGTACATGTACCAGCAAGTCAGCAAAAAACAAAGTATAAACTTTTTTAACAATTTGCCTTAAAAACGGGGTTTTTGTTGCACATTTCTTATATTTTACAACACAAAGCTATCGTCCTGCCACCCTTCACCTCTATATGAGCACAGAACAGGCTGCCTGTAAAGTGCCAGATATCCCACTTCTTGTACACAACATTTACACACATATTAGTCCGAGGATGTTAAGAACTCCAGCAGCTGAACTACTGCCAGCACTGGACAAGTGAAACACTCATAAAAAAAGGATTCCAAAGACAGATTTTTGGAGCATCGCAAATGAGAAACAAAAACCAGCAGGGAAGTTGTAGGTTCCATGTCTTGTTAAGGATCAGCAAATGAAATTCTGATTTGCTTCTGATGTGGCAAATTCATCATGTAAAAAAGAGGAGACTTTTGGGTCACTCGTACATCTGACTTTGCTCCTCCTTCCGTTCCGTGTGATTAAACAGATAATTACAGAAGACCACATGATTTACAGCTGAATTCTAGGCACACAGATGCTCACAATGCAGAAACCCATCTGAACACAATTAGATATGAATTGGTAGCCAAGTCTTCTGGTCCCTGCCAAACAGCACAGCCAGGCCAGCCACCTTGCTTTTGTCTACTGCATTCAGCTACCACAATATGTACTTTTCTCTATCAGGGACAAACTCTCCGTGCTCCTACCCTTTTCTCCCATGAATGTATGCAACATTAAAGTCAAAAGGTTGATAAGCAATTTCTAATGCTGATGGAATCGCTTACAATGGATGCTGCTCCTTGGATGTTTAGAAGTTTTAGTTTCCTGCAGAATCAGCTGGTCCCCTGAGCACTGGCCTGACTTCCTGTTATAGTGTGGCTCCTTTCCCTTACAGGATCCTATGGAATCACCCTGGTGTGTGCTAGTCTCCACAAACACAGCAAGGCATGCTACTCTCCTTCCTTCTTCAAGCTACTAAATGGACATCTGCTGGAGACTGTTCTGTCCCTTGTGATCTTGTACTGAATAGGAAGTTCAGGGAAGTCAAGCTGAGAGAGTTGGAGCCAGCTGTTTGGAAAAGTGATTGCAAGTGCTTGACTAAAATATTAAAAAGCACTTTGCAAGGCTATATATATATATATATATATACTGGATTCACTAAGCATTGAATGAGAGTGTAACTGTGCACACAAGGAGAGATTTGTGTGTGGCTACAATACATCATGTTGTTTAATTCTGATAAATATTGGATATGATATACAGGGGATAGCACGGCACATATTGAGCTTTCAATGTAACTATGGATATTTTTATTTAACTGTCAGTTCCTCAGCAGACTTTGGGGGTCAATTCTTCAAGAATGGAGCAGCATTGAGCATATGCAGTAGGAAAGGTATTTACTTTCTTCTTTTGCCGTTTTACATTTGCGCCAAGGGCGCTTTAGAACAGCACCATGGCTGATAACAGCTTCTTCAGGAGATTAAAAATTGTGATTTTCCTGCAGTGGTTAAAAATAAATTTGATCAATTTATTATGATACATAACTGGTCCAAATTGTGTTTTTGATACCGTGGGGCTCAGCTTTAAGTACTTGCTGTGGAAAAAGTCACTATTTCAACAAAATTTTCATATTGCAAATATTTGGCAATGAAAACATGATTTCAGATCAAATGGTTTGAACAACAGTCCGGTACCATATACAGGTAAGTCAGGGCTGGACAAATCCCAGGAGTCAATGCTCCTCAGAAATTACAGCTGACACCTAACTTTTGCGGGTGTTTCTAGTTGTAGTCAATGGAGCTGCCTCCTAACAATTTCCTGCGGGTTTCTGGATTGGACAGACTGGCTCCTAAATTCCAATCGCATTTCTCCTCCGCTGAGTAAGCACGATTCACTTTTTTTACAGAATATCCAACCAGTTCTGTAGAAAACCGTAGACCAGTTGACTCATTTCTAGCTGGAATTTTTACAAAGAAGACGTTGTGATTGGATGCTATGGGCAAAACATCCAATTGTTATAATTAGGGATGCACCGATGCCAATACTAGTATCAGTGCCGAATGCTCCGATACCTACCTCTGATACCGGAACTTCCCTCTGACCAGCAGTGCCAAGGGAGCATGGAGCCGGCTTCCTTTCCAATCAGAAAGCCGGGCATTGGGTTATGACCCGCCTCCCTGATTGGTTAAGGAAGCTGGCTTCACTTGTTGCTAGGCAGCCTGGCTCCCTGACCAATCAGAAAGCCGGACGGCACCTCATGACCCACTGTCCGGTTTCCTGATTGGTCAGGGAGCCAGGCAGCCTCAGGTAGTAAAGCCGGTGTTCTTTCGATAGAACACCGGCTTCCCAGGCAATTAGGAAGCCAGGTGGCTGCTTCCTGATAATCGGGGAACACGACGCCAGTATCGGTACCTGTGAGTACTGAAAAAAAATATCGGTACTCGTTACCGAGAAAACTGGTATCGGTGCATCCCTAGTTATAATGATGCCCTTGGGTCGATTACAAATTGGGCCCTCCTGCATTGCAAGTTGAGAAGCAAACAATTACATAAATTGCCAACAAGCAATGCCATAAACTCCAGGCATACCTTATAAATTAAAGAGATGGTTTTCCTCTAAGCAAAATCCACTGGGCAGGGGTGTCAGAGTAAGATCCACTGGGCAGGGGTGCGTGTAAAATGTACTTCTGAAATGGACACATTAGTCAGCAGTAAATTAGGTGTAGCTGCAGAATATTGTCACACACCTCCAGGATGGTATGCTAAGATTACTATTAGCTGTAAACTCTAATGTTGTATTCTATTCGGTACTTACTGAAAAGAAAAGGATGGCCTGAAGTTAAACTTTTTCATTTCAGAGTTTTTTTTCTCTCATCCCATGCACTGCCCAATCATTCATCAGCATCATAAGATGATAGTATATGAAGAAGCAGATGAGTTTAGCCCAGTTGAGTCTATGGCAACAAATTATATTAAAATAACATGAGCAAATTCCAATGAGAAGGAGAATTCTATCTGGAAAACAATACAAACTACACTAAAGCAACCCAAATACTGGCCATGTTAGTCGGTAGTACTGGGATATGGCAGGGCACAAGCTGATCTTCAGAATGGCAATCTTGAACTATGCTTAGGAGGTCATTAAATAGGATGGCCATGTTTTAAAAAGATTTGTGCTCAACAGCTACATTTACAAATGGCTGCAAACTAAAATTAAAAACACTAAAAAAGTAAAAAAAAAAAAATCTATTATTATGTGTTATAAACACATTGCGGCCTGCGGATATAAATATGAGAAAACTCATCACTTAATTAGAAGGGTCTAAAAAATACAATTTAAAAATACTTCCACATTATACGTCATTTTTTCACTATTCATCATTTTAAAGGCTCAAAAGATGTCAGAGAACTGGAATAAAACTGCAGAGAAGATGAAGCGCAGTACTGCAGGTCAGGGCTGTATAATCCCATTATGAATGTACAGATGGAGGGCAAGTGTACCGTGTAAATGTCGTGTACTATGTGCCATCAAGTTGTAGCCACATTCACAGTGCTGCTGACCTACAAACCACGGCCTATAGTACAAATTAGGTACTGTGGGTTAGAGCTACATTTTGACTACAGCGGGCCCCGTCCAACATTCAGAGATGGGAGAAGGAAAAAAAAAATTTCGACATTCACTGAACTCCAACACAGCAACGGCTCTCGGCTGTCTCCTAGAAATGTTGGGAAAGATTTCATATATGTAGCAATCACTGGTGATAGGAAGCTTAGCCCTTTCCTGCTAAACCCACGCTCTGTGCTCTAATTATGAATGGGGTGCAAAACACTGCCCCGTCAGAACCGACATTCCCGACACAAGGTCCATAGGATCTACTGAAAATCTCAGAAATCCTGGCCAATGGAAGGACTGACCGTGAGGGCCGGCAAGTGCTCGGTGTGGGATTAAGGGCCTGTGTCATCAGGCTTTTCATTTGTATTAGTCTATGGCCCTGCTGCCCAACACACAGCCCACCAGCACTCTGCACGCGGCCTTAGGCATCATCGGCTGTACTGCCTGCATTGAGGGCAAAGCTTCACGTGTTGGGCACCAGGGTTTAAAGGCTCAGAGAGTCTATGACAAGAACATCTCCACCCTACAAACACTATTAGCTGGATGCCGCCGCTAAAGCTGCCCGCACACACTGGCAATAGGTGGGGCCATTCCCAGTGTCTGTAAGATCTTCCTGTATCACACTACTGCATGATGAAGTGGTGTCATGCCCAGTGTCAGTAAGGTTCTCCATCGTCAAAGCCATACGGACAGCAAAAACGAATTGTAACCACAGTATTTCAGAAGTTAACATGTGTTAACATATATTGATCAGGCTGCCAATGCACCACAACACACAAAAGTGTATTGCTCATTTTTGTAAATGCATGATGGGGTGCCATTCAAAAAAAGTCCTAACTTTAAACACACATGGCTGCCATCTGTGCATTGTGGTGCACTGCAGATAACAGGTTGTACATTGCTGTGCATGTTAACACAACCTATATATGTGAATCTAGCCCTAAACTACTGTCTGTATTAGGATTTATTCAGACTAGTAAGCTGCAGTGATGTGTTCTACTACGTATTACCGCAATGCAAGAAACTGAAAAGTGCAGGACATGGCGGTGGCATTGATTTTGAATTTCCCCCCAATGGACATACCCAGTGCATCACAATTCACAGATGTGAACCATCTCTGCATTGCGGTGCACTCTGTGGAGAAAAACAAACTGCTGCAAGGCTGTTTTTTTTTTGTTTGCACCGAGATTTACCGACAGTCAATTGTAAATGAACTCAACACAGTGCACCTCAACACACTAGTGTTTTTTTCCTATTATAAACCTTAATAATCTCATTTGACTTTGCCCATAGTTGAGTCTCATCACATACATAAAGCAGGAAAAAGGGAACGTTAGGATGCTACAAGTGAATTATACCTTTACACTCTGAAAAGAAATGATTTCAATGCTGGCACAATAATTACTGACCAAGCAATACCTGCAAAATCATTTCAATGTATGAGCTCTCTGGGTATGGACTGTAGTATTACCTGATAAAAAAACCAAAGCCGACCCAACAGAAATCACTTTTCAGGCGATTAACGTTTACGTATTGAACTAAAAATGATGTCCATTTCATTATTAAAAGGTGCTTGAGAAGCATTGTAAGATAAAGTGCATGGAAACAGAAATACAACTGCCAACCATTGGTACCAGCATCCTGTGTTCCTGGCACGCACTGGTCCAGCTTGTGATTCGAAGGACTGCTCCATACAGCTGGGAAAAGTTCATGTCTGCAAGCATGGAGAGCGTTTATGATAAAAATGGGTGGAATTATTGCTAAAAACAATAAGGAAGTAGCCTTATGTAGTTCGTAGACAGGGTGGCACCAATAACTTGGCCATGCTCATTTTCCAGCTGACCTGTTATTCTTTTACAGCAGGGAGATAGCCATGACAACAAAAGGATATGGAAGAAGCTGCATAAGCACAAGGCAGTATTCATCTCAGAGCATCCATAGGGGTTGTGTTTAACAAACTCCTACAGAAAGATTTCCAAGCTGTCTCATTTTCCAATATCTATCATATTTTCTTTGCAGTTCTCTCAGCTGGCATACAGTTCTCCAAACAAATCAGATGTTTCTTCATTTGCATAAAGGTCCCTGGGAGTAAGAGGTCCCGCCTCACACCAGATGTAGTTTGGAGCAGCAAGAGTTGTGTCATGCAGGACCGTTCAATGTGGTCTCAGAATTTACGGCAACATCTCCATGGCTGTAATGGGAAGGAAAGGACAATGTTACAAAAATGAAATACATCTGAAATCCACACATTCAAGTAGTGTGGAACATGCAGGGACTATAGGCACTGCCAACAAACCCATCGCAACCAAACAGAATTTCTCCTCCCAGTTTGTATGGGAAATTGCACCACCTTCTTAAATACAGCTGATTATCACTGCACAAAAAGCAAAGAGGGCAACTAGACATACAGAAGAGAAATTCACTGCAAATCCTGTATGAGGACTCATGGAGAAACTGATGAACCATACTAGTCATAGAAAACAATACTATAAAACGCACCCGGTAATCCCCACATCTGCCACACATGCTGATAACTATTAGACAATTATTTATTTATAGAAAATGTCTAATACTGCTCATAGTCAAAATGCAAAATCACCACAACAGACTTGATAGAATTTGTCTATGCAAATGTCAATTTTAAATGACCTTTGTCCCAATGTAAACATAGCTTCCGTGTGCTGGTATTAGGAATAATAAGACAGCCATGCCATCACACTAGAGTTTCAGTTTCTGCTGAACATGGGTTGGGTACACAAAGTGCATTCTGTACAGTCTGCAATACCTTACATACTCCACACCCATCAACTCTGAATGTTGTGACGTATGTTATATACTTTAGCACAGTGCTGTTTTACTACTAGACCATTACCACGAGAGTTTCCAAATCCCATCAGTTCAATAAACTTCATCCCCAGTTGGGCCTTTCCCATCTTGTACAGGAGCCAGAAAATTGATCTGTCCCTACCAAAATAGCCAGGACACAAAGTGAACCTGGGTGAGAAGTCTGGCTGCATGTTGTAAACGAGCCTCAATGAGACCACCGGAAAGCTGAAAATCCCCTATAATCAATTAAGCACTAACCCAAGCCACTTCTATAAATCATGCACTCACCTCTTTTCTCTGCAAGAACATTGTGCGTTTTTGATGCATGCAGCTGCTGAACACTGCTCTTTAGCTTCATCCTCCGTGCTACTACTACATGGATGGTTTTCTTTTGCACATCTGACATCCGCAATTGTCAACTGATCAATGGCTAGGTCATCGGGATTGCTGTGGAAGGAGAAGTTACTGCTATAAAAATGGGTGTAACAATGACACTGATATTTCATCATGCTCACTTGAAAGAATAAATATCAAGGCAAAAAAAAAAAAAGAATCATGACATTTACCACCCCGGTGCATAAAATAAACTCCTATATGTGCACATGGGCTGTGTGTTAAAGGGAATTTGTATTTGTGGTTCTATTTTAGTAGGATATTGTCTAAAACTATTTTATTTCCTCTGGTAAATCATTTTATTAAGTTTGGGTCCTTAAACAGTGTTAATTGGACGGTGTTCAGTGGAAAAAGATTGCAAGGGTAAAAAAAAGAGAAGCTGAATGAATAAGGGGGAAAGGGTGTGTGTGTGGTGAGGGAGGGAGGGAGCAGAAAAGGCCATCGATCATACTAAATTATGGTCCAGATGCCTGTGCTAGTGGAAGGGATGCCCAGGGTTCCAAAAGACTTTTACAACTCTGGTGGCAGGAACGTGGTCACCTGTTTCTCATACTTGGAAGCATTTGGGCACTCTATACAACAAATTAGCTTCAATCTTTTCATGTATCATAGTTTGGGTAACTTTATTCTGAACCTCAGTGAGGCTATGTTTAGTGCGTCTCTATGTCCTAGCAATCATTTAGCTACAATAAATACTCACAGAAATTTGAAGCAGGCATTACTGATGTTTGCTTGGGATGAGTTTATTCTCCCTTTTTCTCTAATTTATTATCCGGGGGTGTGGTGCCACACCTATACCTGTTTACGCTCCCTGCCTAATATATTTCTCCTGTTATAAGTTTCCACATATGATTAAAGTACCCTGTGTGTGGGTTTTCCATCACCCAAAATAGATAGATGAAGAACTAGCAAGTGAAAATGTACACATTCAATAAAAGCAGCCTGGAATTCAGAATACTCAGGCTGCTGTACAAGTAAACAATATGTATAGGCACAATTTGGATCTCCTTGCTTGTGCTTCATTCCATTGATCTGTGCTTACTCCACCTCTCCTACTGCCTCTTGATTAACCCCCAACCCCCTTCCTGTGCTGCTGCTGCCTGTGGATCGGTGGCTCCCCTACCTCTTACTACTTTTTAATGCTTCCCTATCCTATATTGCTGCTAGCTTTTGACCTGTGGCTCCTCCACCTACCTCGAGTCTCCCCTTTCTGTGCTATTGCTGACTTTGATATGTAGCTTCACCATCTTTCCGTCTGCATACCCCCTTCTGTGCTGCCCATGGACCTGTGGTTCCTCCACCTCTCTTGCTGCCTCTTGATTACCCCTCGTATCATGCTGCTATTTTCTGTGAATGTGTGCTCCTTCCACCTCAGGGAAAGGGTCTGGCATGAGACTCTAAAGACCTGTTTTACTACCAACATGAAAGCACCACATTAAAAAAATGATTCAGTATTTCAGCTTTATATTAACATTTATGTATAAGTCCAGTTTAAGGATATCTGGTCATGATTAGATTTAGGAACTTGCAGGCTTTCAGATGAAGGATTTTAACTTGACCCTTATCAGGCTTTACTTACTCAGTCTGAGGAGAAGTGGAGCTCCTGGATGAAGGTGAAGAAAGGTATATTTGCCCCATGCTGAAAGCACAGAGTCTACTGTACGCGTACAACAATATCACATAACAGGGACCATTGGTCAAATACTAGAAGCACTAACAGGGTTCTGCATTTCATAATGTTATTGCTGTTAGGGCCTGGAAGGTGGTGTGTGTTATTAGCATGAATTGGGGCCACCGTCAAGACTTCAGAAGGCTTCTCACCTCTGACTTTAGACAAACTAGGTAAAGTAAATGAAGGGGTATCTTTTTACATATGCCTGTAGACTGTTTAGATTCTTTCATAAGCCCAATCATTAGAGCTGCAACAGTTAATCGATTTAGTCGATTAAAATCGACGATTGAAAACGTTACCAACGTTTTCGATCGTCGATTCGTCGGATATCGATTGATTTCCCTGTTCGGGGCTCTACACGCGGCCTGAAGCACACGCTGCTAAGCTGCTGGTGTTCTGCACTGCGCCGCTGTATTATGTACTATATTGCACACCACACTCTTTTTTTTACTTCTACCGCGCCAAGCTTGCTCCCGTGATGGACTACAATCTCACCACAAACTAGTAGTCCATCACTGGAGCCTTTTTTTTTTATCCGATTAACCGATTAATCGAACTTAATAATCGGCCAACTAATCGATTATGAAAATAATCGTTAGCTGCAGCCCTACCAATCATGACTTGCTCTCTTTATATCTGACTGGATGCTGTGGGTCAGAACAGGCAGTTTCTTTGGAAGACAGGGGTGGACAAATTAATATGGAATTCAGGAGCCAGCGCAATGTCTTATTTTTGTTAGGAGCCAGCTCCATTGACAGCAACTAGAGAAAACCTCAAACGTTAGATGCCAGCATTGGCTACCTGGCTCCTGGGATTTACCTGACTCTGGTTTGAGATGTTGGCATACCAGAGATAACCCCAGAGAAATGTGTACATATTATGCAACTCTGCAGCCTGATGGCAATGTATGCTTCAGAAGATATTAGGATGTTTCATTCAGTTTTGATGACACTGTTTCAATTATTTCAAAGAAATGTTATTGTTTTTCAACAATAATCTGTCTTAAAAAAAACTGCATACATTTTACATACAACTCCACCTGCCAATATGTCTGGGTCTACAAATAGTTTTTATGGAAAGCAACCTCTTTTTATACATTATTCATTGTAAGCTCTGTCTGAATTGTCAGGTTTTTTTACAGGTTATTTTAAACTTTATATGACAACTGAAGTGTAGTTATTTTTATGGCCTTATGAACCTATTTTATGTCTTTGAGCCCAAGATTCAGACTTTGCACAGAAGCTAAAACATATTTATTGATTAGTAAGAAGCTAATATAAGAGATTGTGTGACAAGCATAGCAATGGTTAAACCATCCAAAACAGATCATTCATCAATTTCATATACAAGTCAATACTGGTGAAACAGATCGCTTGGGTGTATTGCTTGCACAAAGGACACTAAACAGATCAGCTACTCCCATTGTTAATTACATGCCCACCATGCAAAGCAGTGCAAAGGTAGTGAAAATGTGTGGGACATGCAATGCAAGCTTATCTACTATCCTGAAGACACACTTCAAACACTTGCCAGGAGGAGGGAGAATCTCAGGGACAGAAATCTATCAAAAAGGAGCAGATTACCGCTCCTAGTGCACAACTTGAAAAACCACCATCTCTAGTTTGTATACACCAGCTGGGATAGCTCCTGCATGTATGTGACTGACACAAATACGAGATTGTGCAATCTAAATATCATCGATTTCTGCTGCCATACTTCAGGTAGCTGTGCCCCAAAAAGATCTCAATATAGTAAAACGCAAAATACAATATGGTCTACTTCCATTCACGAAGTCCAATTGCTTAGATCATCAGGTTACTTTGATCCCCACCCTTTCCCCAGCAATCACGCCCAGAATACGCTGTGCCACTAATATGACCAAGAAAACCTGTGAAAATAGATTTTTTAGGAAAAATTGCTGCTGTTGGTATTAAAACAGGTGTGGTTACTAAGGCCAATGAGTCATTATAGTGAAATACACATGCAGCTAGTACAGTCTGAAAACTACCATCCCGAAAACTGGTTCCAGGTGACTGACTAAGCAGTTCAACACTATAAGAATGACAGCCCCAGAGACTTCACCTTTGAAACCTAAAGGGGCTATTCACTAAAGGGTGAAGAGTTTGGAAAAGGCAGGAGAAGTGCACAATCTAGGACAGGGGCGCCCACTATTTTTCGTCTGGAGATCTACTTTTCAAATGACGAGCTCATTGAGATCTACCAACGAAAAAATACCTGCATTCAGGGGCGGGAGGGGGCGTGGCGGTGCATTGAAGTCAATGGCACCGCAGCCAGGCTCCGCAGGCAGGCCCCTCGCCCACAGTGCGATCGCCTGCATTAGTTCTGTGACAGCGGCTCCGTCCTCTGCCCTCCCCCGCCGCCGGTTCCTTCACTTCTTCTCGGATCCCCGCTGGGGAGAGCAGCGGGGATCCAGAGAAGCAGCGGGAGGAGAGGACATGGCGATCTACCAGTGATCGCTGCGCGATCGACTGGTAGATCAGGATCGACCTTGTGGGCACCCCTGATCTAGGACAACATAGCTGAATTGGAAAGTCATCCGAATTGGAGAATTCTTTCCAAATCAGCGATGTTGTCCTAGTTTGTTCACCTCTCCTACCTTCTCCAAACTCTTCACCCTTTTCTGAATAACCCCCCTAAGTCTACCATGGCAGGTTCCACATTGATATATTTACAGGTGAGCTCTAATACTCTTATCCTAAATCCTCTAACATAAGTAATAGAATCTGACCAAGCTCTACTGGTTGAAGATCCCAAAACATGCCACGGTTGCTGATACATGACAGTGGGTTAGAATATTTCCCATGAATTCTTTGACATTAAACTGCATTTTCAGCAGAGATGTGGTAGCAGTAGCTGCAGAGACATCTGGAAAGAGCCTCATGCTTGAATAGCAGAATGAACATAACCTCAGATGACACTGCGCTTATGGCAGTATTCAGCAAGATCTCCCCTGACGGCAAACAAAACTCAACTGAAATCAAACATAAATAAACACAGAGCCCAAGTACACAAACCCTGATACTGGGCATATCAAAAAGGTACAAACTATTCTGGTAACAATCTCATCACACATGGGGTGAGATGGGCTATCCCTGAGTGTTGCTGGAATAATGGGATTCCATGGGGTAGTTCCAGTTTAGGACTATTGCAAGTAGCTGGAACCATACTCTTAAAAGGATAAATGCACATTACATGATAAAATCTTAACCAAAAGTGTAACTAAAAGCAAATCTCTTCATTGTACACTACATATCCTGTCCTAGGTCAAGCCCTTTCTTTCTTTGGAGCTCCCAGAATTCTTTCAAATGAAGTGTTAATGCCTTGCCATAAAGAACACATGTTCATTTTTATGGTGCATGCACAGGTTTTTAAAGAATGGTGGTTGGGCATTTTAGGGAAAAAAAAAAAATGTTAAACCCGACTGTCTGTACTACAGAGGTATTTGCCGTCATCTACATTTTTCCAGCAGAAGGAGGGATTACTAAGTGAAATTATACCTGATGTACCATAAAAGTGGTTGACCAGCTGAATCTGCAATGCCACAAACCAGAAGTATAGCGCTATGTTTAATTTACAAAACTCCTGAAGGTAAAATATACCGTACCCAAAAGGCCTGACCCTAGGAATTCTTGGTGCTACCCACTCGGGACGGCATGCTTTCACAAAAGTCACCCGAGGTGAAGGCTTGAAAATCACCACTCACAACAGCAAAACCTTCTACTGAAAATGAGAAATCGTTTTTTCAAATTTGCTAAAGCGTAGTTTAGGATGACACCGGTAACAATGCTCACATGTTCCAAAATATTTGGATGGCCTCAATCCATTGGGAAGTCCAAGAGGAAAAAAACCCAAAAAGGTCCTGCTGCTTCTTTACAGGGAAAAGGGAGGAAGTACTGGAGCAGAGAGTTTTAGTCTTTTCATCAGTGTGGTATTTAAAGTGACACTAAACTCCGGAGTGAAATCTTAAAAATGCTTTCAAGAACCTTAACTGTTACCAAAAATGTATCTTATTTGTGCAATGTATCTTGAAGCCACTGATCCAAGCTCGCTCCTGTGATGGACTACAATCTCAATACAAATTAGTAAACTAAATGTGAGATTATAGTCCATCACGGGAGCGCACTTGGAGCGATGACCATCCTCCAGAAGGAAGGACAGTGTCAGCATGAATTCAGACATGATTTAAAAAACTACAGCCGAGTGATAGACAAATAAACATTTTTGTTAATAGGTAGGATACCGGAATTAATTTTTAAGATTTAAAGGAGAATTATGAGGTGAGTGCTTTTCACTCACCTCATAGTTCTAGCCGACCTGTGACTATGAGACTGTCACAGGTCGGCTCAGTAGATCTGGAGGTGAGCGAACACATACCGGCGTTCGCTCACCTCTCGATCCTGTCACAGCTCTCTGCCGTGACAGGGGAGGGGTTGGATTCCCCCCTCCGATCTGCCAGCGCTGACTGGTGGATCGGACAGGGGAGGGGGGCGGGTACAGCTGGATCTGCCTCTGGATAGGCAGAGCCATCTGTGAGGTCACGCAGCTGGGCGGATCCTGGCACAATTGTCGGCATCCGCTTCAGCTGCGGCGTCTCAGTATACCGCGAGCTACAGCTCACGGTATACTGAGCTTAGGGTGACGGGAGGCCGCTAGTTTGTGTCCTCCCATTACCCTAAGGAGAACTATGGGGAAAAGACTTAACCCCATAGTTCTCCTTTAACTCCTGGGTTTAGTGTCACTTTAAACTGACCAACAAGTAAGCTCCCAGGCCCCTCATGATAATTGAAGTACTTTGCAGACATATTTCATCTGGAATTATATATTAACTGATCTGATTTAGTGGAAATTCACCTGCAATTCTAATTTAGGTTCTTTAGTAAAAAGATATTTTTGCCTCTGCAGGTGGTAGACACCATCAACCATAATTTGTATATCAAGTGAAGTATCACTATAGAGAAATCTGCACTGAGAAAAATAGAGGCCATGTTTGCTGAGACTAGGAACAAGTCAGTGACAGGCAGGCAGCTAACATTTTTAGGCGTAGAGGCCAGCAATAGCAAATCGACATTTGTCTCTCCAAGAAGGTTTTAGTAAAAAAAAAAAATGTTCTTACTGGAAATGGGAGACCCCATTCTTAAGGTTCACGAATTCTTTCAAGCACAAATTACCCATTAGAGATGACTTTACCATGCATTTATCTTGCATTCATACTGCTTTTCCATTGACTTGTAAGTGGGCATAACAGGAAAGCAAGCCAAAAGCATTATTCTATGTTATTAAATTCAATATGAAAACAGTGTTCCAGTTTAAAAAATGTTTTAAAAATGCACATCAGAAGCAAAATCTAAGTACCTGTATAGACACAAACTCTTACAGTAACTTTTTTTTTTTATCATCTTCCCAAGAAGGATCTCATGGTAGAAAATAGGCATACCAACAAAGTACAGAAAGCTCTGGTTCTATAAACCTGGTTCATTCATACAAGAGCACCAATGCTTTCACTGTGATGTCATGTACCTGCAGCCATATAATATAATAAGACAACTAGAAAGACTTCGATATCAACCAAGAATGATGAGCAGATGTATGAGATGGGCAGTAAGTCAGTCACACAATATCTGGTGGATTAGCCAAACATTCAGATGAGAGTGGATAAAAGAAATGAGACTCTCCCTGCTCCTTTAGGTGTTTGGAGCACTCCAATTCTTTCCTGGCATGCTGTACATACCCTGCAGGAGTAAAGATTCTGAGTAGTACCCACAACAGGAGTTAGGACAAGAGAGAAGAGACCGGGAATATCATGGGAAAGAGAAAATAATTAAGAAAACAGTAAAAAAAAAAAAAAACACAGTGAGGATTATGAAGTAGATCTCAGTATTTTTACAGAATAGAATAAAGTAGCATGTGATGTACGTAGAAGATAAAAATGTTCAACCAAAAAAAGAAAATTGAATCTCATACTCCTGACTGAAAGAGTTAACATATTTGTAAACCACATTCTATACTAAAAACGTACACCAACAGAAAATGGACAAAATCACAACCAGGTTGGACAACCCTGGATGTCACAAGTGACAACAGGCAAACAAGTTGCCTTTGCTTGTCATGTATTTTTATTTTAAATACATACCATCCAGAACATATACTGTTATATGCTGGTATGCAACCAATGTGCACCTGTTATTGGTTGCTGCCTCAGAGTGCATATGGAATTCATCTACATGATTCACAGTTCAAAGGTTCACTCCAAGTTCCTTATATTTTTTTTTGTACAGTCCAAATACTTTTCCCAATCAACCTTCAATTACTGAATAAAACAGATCTACTGACCATGACTCTTAAAAATGAATTTCCCTTCTCACCTGCCACTGCACACCACCATTATTCCAGACATAAGGCATGCCAACTTACCTACTAAACGTGGCCTTCTCATTCTTGGTGTCCATGGTGAGTCTGATAGTCTCATGTCCAGCTCCAGTGCTGATGGTTTCAGTCACTATATTCGTTTTTTCTTCCTCCTCACTGTCTGAGCCACCAGAGGAACTGCTATCTGAACCAACGACTGGGGCTTTCCTGGCTACACACACATTCCACACGCAGGGGGACGCAGTACTAACTGAAAGAAGACAAAACAACCATACTATGAGTTCAGTTTAAACCCTTCTTCCAAGTACAATTTGGTCAGTTTAGTACTAGTTTTAACTAACCTTTATTCTGCAAATGACAAAACACACGAGGTTAAATTCACAAAGCTAACACACCAGCATAAGGACACTTATTTCCAAAAAGAGGAAACTTTATGTTCACCTAAATCCAATGAGATTTGAAAATGACAGTCCCATGGCTAAAATAGAGATCCTTCTACTTGTGTTAATAAAAAATGAGTGCATGGACTGCGTGACACACTATCTAGGTAAACAAATGACAGTAGGCTCTATTCTCAAAGCTTTAACACAAGATTAAGTATCTTTATTTTAGCCATGTGAATGGTATTTTCAAATCTCATAACTGCCACTTTTCTGAAATTAAGTATGTTAAGTATCCTGTTGTGTTGGTTTTGAGCTGAAAATATCATATATGGTTATGAAATAAAATCATATTAATTAACCCCTTCGTGACTGACGACGTACAGTGTACGTCGCCAGCATCGGGGCTGTTTAAACAGACTCCCGGCGACTTTTGCCACCGGGACTCTGTTTAAACTTATTGCACCAACATGTACAGTATACACTGTAAGCTGCCCTTACTGATCACTTTTGAAAATGGAAGCTGTCAGCCTTCTGGATTGAGTGACTTTAAATTTACTGAGGCACGGACCTGAACCTCTATAGAGATCAGGAGCACTGTCTTCATTGACCTGCACACTGCTTCCAGGTCTTTATCTCAAATGTAGTGTAGCCAGACAACTAGCACTTTTACAATGAAGTCAACAATGGCAGCCTTCCCATTAGTAAGGCTTCCTTTATTATGGACACCTTCACTCTGCTAAGGGGTATGAACCTTGTGGTTCAAAACATGTAACTATGTGTGGCAAAGTCTATCTTTTAGTATACTCAAACCATATGTGAGCATGATGATCTGCCTTATTCCTATCAGAAAGTGTAAGCGATACTCACAGAACTTTTCCTGGCTCTGTTTGGTATGTCCGTCAGAACCACTGCTCTCAGTATCTACTGGAGAACTACACCGGGGACCAGATTCAGAGCTATAGAGACAAAATAAAAAGGGAGCAGTGAGTGAAAGCAGCATATGTTTTACTTAAAAATAACCACTAGCCATTTGAAACAAAAAGTACCTCGAGTGATGTTGGGTAATAAGAGGCCTATGGAAAAGATGATAATTTTGTGACACATACCCAGTAAAACAGCACGTCACATTTGGCAATGCATTTTAGCTGCGTAGAGCAATTACAAACCTTTCACTAGTTAACATAAGCCTCACACTGCCAGTTATAGCATAGTGGCTGTAAAGGATCAGGAGTGCAAAATACTAAAAATGTCTTCCCATATCTATACCTGTAAGGGCAAGTACATGTAGGCACAGGTCTGTCTGACATTGGCGAAGTGCCACACAATCTCCAGGTCAAAGGTTGCATGGTATGTTCTGGCCACGCTCACCATTAAAAAAAGCTGAAGCCTTGACTTATCTCTGCTGCAAGACACTATAAGACTATTATTGCCAAGAATTGCAACTCTTGCAAAGCATTTTAGGACACTGGTGTATGAGGGTAATCTTTTCTTTATGTGCTTTTCTGACTTGGTTATTGCCTTATTTTGGAAGAGTACATCATTTTAGGATTTACAACAACTGGGACTGGAATACTCACAAGGAGACAAAGGCAGGTGTCTGAGCACCATACTCAACCCTGTTGGATCTAGTCTCCACCAATAGCCCTAAAAAAGACCCTTTAAAGCATGAACGGTGGGTGGATTGGGGATCATATGTACAGTGTAAGTTAATCAAGAGATTAAGAGCCATTCTTCCTGTGCCTTAAAGTGAACGTGTAATTTTTAAAACACCCTGCCTAAGAGCAGATTTCACAAGATGCCTGTTATTAGGGATGTCCCACTTTTTTAGATCAAGTATTCTGCTTTCTGCTTTGGGGACATGTATTCTGCTTTGGAAACATGTGTTCGGCGAATACATGTCTCCAAAGCAGAATTCCTCTCATCAGGCTGCGTGTTGATCTCACCGGGCGATGTGGACATCTGCAGTGGCTCTGAGGGCACTCCACCTCACTACGGCGATGTCGGGACCTGGCCTCCCCCACGTCCAGTCCAGCCGACTCTCTGCATTTCTGGGCTCTGCTTTCATCCATCTCCCAGTCCGTGTGCGGCGGAAACCACAGCTTCTAAGCCCGGGGTAGTAGTTCCGCCCCTGGGGCTGTCCATGGCAGTGCCTGTGCCGGGAAGGAGGAGGAGATAAAGAACCGGACAGGCACTGCCATGGACACCTATCTGCAGGTCCCCACAAGCGCGGGAACTCGGACGGCCGCTACTATTTAAAAATGTAAAGGGCCGGTATTGGCCTTAGGAATCGGGGCATTTTCACGAGCACTTGTGAAAATGCCTGGTTTCAGCCCCGATACCGATACTAGTATCGGTATCAGGACATCCCTACCTGTTATTATACATAATTCTCAGATGCCACTAAGGGCTAACTAGGCTATCAAATAGAGCAGACAAGTGAAATGTATGGGCTAACAAACTCTATAAAATCTTACCAACAGAATGGCTGGAAGTCAGTGAATTTGGCCCATCCCTTCTCCTCTGGGGTGGATGTCTCAGGGGCAGGTGCATCCCACACACTGGAGCCAACATCTAAAGCCACACATGGAGTGGGTGGCTTGGAGTTCACTGGCTCTTCAAACACTGCACTCCAGCCTGTCTCTAAGAACACAAACAAAAGGCTGTGTGACATAAAAGCAGCATCAGACATGGCTCACAATGAAGAGTAAGAGTAAAAACTAAAACACAACTGAATGTGTGTTTTCTGTTAATCTTATATTGACAGTTTATATTGATCAAGAAATGATGTCTGTAAAAATGATACATATAAAAATGTGATGAATAGCATCTGACTATTTCTATCTGCCCCTATAACATGTTATTAAAATGGATTTTAGTGTAAAATGTATTATAAAAAGTTACAAACTTTTTCAAAGATATTTGAAAGTTTCTTAAAAATGAAAAAAAGACTGCATAAATAACATATATGAAAAGTATAGGAATTACATTCGGCAGCCCTTATTAAACGACATATTTTTTTAAATGTCCAGAAGTTGTTAGAAACTACTATAGCTGTTCGAATATATGTTAAAATGAATGACGACCAATATAAGAAATAACTGGAAGTAAAAAAGTATACTGACATAAAATTTTGTCATGGGGCCCTGGGAGACAAGAACAGTCATTGTACCAAGGCATCTTTTGATCTGCAGTTGACCACGTGTTCCACACTCATACTTCTTTTTCAAGTGGCGCATAAGGATTTGCAACAGGCTTGGCAGGATTGGGCAAAGCAGTTACAGCAAATATGGTTGTCTGTCTTAACTTCCTGGTTCTTATCTCAACAGCATTTTTGCTCTGTCGAATGAACAGTGGATGAAATAATGCACTAAATTTCTGTTTTACAACCTAGTCATCACATGTGGAGGAGTGAGCACCCCCATGAAATAGCATGGCAGGGTCCATATGAATCTATCAGTTTCTGTGTGTCACTAGTTTGAACCAACTATGAACACCATATTCTGGGGAATAAGTTCCAAAGTTTAAGACTCAAGCAACTCTGTACCTGTGCTGACTTTTCCAAGCCCCCAACTGAAAACACCCACTGTGTGCAGCGAAGACTATTATCCTATAAGAAGAAAATGTGTTGTGTTCCCTGAAACCTAAATTTCAGAAGTGAGCAATGAGCTTTCAGAACTATAACAAATATCCAACTTCTAAGAATGCCTATTGCACTTTAAATATAAAATATTTTAGGTTACTCACAAAACATGGTTTTCTGGTTTTCATATAATTACCTTCTGTAGCGGAACCATCTTTTTGTGTGGGCGAGTTGCTACGAATTGGACTGAGAGGTGGTGATTTCTCTTCAGTACGACCTGGTTCCTCTTCATCATCAGATGCAGGGCTGGCTCCTGGCTCTCCATTTTCCAGATCACTGCGGGATGAATCTTCTGAAGATGACACCCCAAACCGGCAGCTTTAAAACAAGAACAGAGTTTCAAATTTTCTCACTGCTACAATTCCTGACTTATAAAAATCTTCACTCTGGCACCAACGGAGTTGGGCCATCACTCAACACACAAATGGGTCATTAAGAGGCACCCTTAAAGGACAGAGAAGAAGGAAGCTGCTATTGGAGACTTGATTTTTATATGTGCAGGCTCCTGGTCCTGTGCTTTATTACCCGGTCACTGACCTGAAATAAGCATGCAAGACAGTGGTTCAGATAACAATGGCACATGCTTGGCTCAGGTAAGTGTCTACCTAGTTAGTGAAGGCAGGATACAGATGCAGCCTCAAAGCCTACATTTTCAAAAACTAGGTTAGCTCCCAAATTTCTATCTTTCATAGCTACAGCCCATTCTCTGTCTAAATTTCACATTAATCTGATGAAAGCTGTTTGCACCCTGATCGCCTTCCTGCAGTAAAAATACAAAAGGAAAAAGAAAAACATTTCAGATTATGTCATAATCAATTAAAGCCTAACTGAAGTTACTGAATAGCTATATAGTCAGATAGACATTCTAACAACCTCAGGTTCCTGTTACAGCAGTTGTGCAGAGGGTCTAAATATGACTGTGCAGACTAATAGGTGACAGAATTAGACCCGGCGCTTTCAGCAATCAAAAGCATTGTGGACATTTCTGGGGGCACATGTTTCAAGGACCAAAAAAAGAGACAGTTGTGAGTCTTTATTGGGTTTTAACACTTCTGGAACAGTTCATTCTAATGTCAGCACTATTAGTGTGACAGCTACTGTGCTGATGGGAGGTCAATGTGCCTTTTACTTACTGTAACAGATTCAAGATCAGTGATGTTAATTTTCACAATATCCTGCAAGCTAACAAAGACTACAAATACTAGCTAACAAAGACTAACATCACTACTCTTCTGTAAGAGAGCCTTTAAAAACTTGTAATTCATGCTGTGTCTATTTTGCCTGTAAAGGAATAACAAACTTTTAATGAGAAGAGCACGCAATCTAGAATGCAGAATAATAGGGTTTTGGTTTTTCTGAGTCCAATAAATCTTTATTGAAAATATTTTTTATGTTAAATACATACAAAAAGAAAAAGAGGGAAACCCAACACTCATTGGGAAAAGAATACTATCAAACAACGCAACAGCATATAAAGTGCATCAAGAGCAAGTCAGTCAGCATGAAAAATATAAACATAAGTAAGGGAAAAACAGGGGAACACCAACACACAATGAACAACATGAGAGGGAAAGCAGGCAAACACTACAAAGACACTGCTCTCCCCACCCCCTCCACCGCCACAGGGGCAGGGAGTAAATGATCAAAGGAGCATGGCTTCACAACCAAAATCTTCAGGAAAAAAGGCAGCGATCCATGGATCCCAGAGACTCGAGTACTTGGCCAGGGTGTCGTTCTAGGACGCTGTGAATTTATCAAAAACATGCGACACATCAAAAAACAGCCTAAGGGAGAGGGAGGGCGTCTCGCAATCACGATTCTAGTAAAAATATACAACAGCAATTTAAATTGGTGGTTAGTGACTTCCTGTGGTTTATGATTAAAGAGAGCAATATGAGGGCTTTTTGATGGAGAAAAGCCGAATACCACATGTATTCTGGCGAAGATCTTAGACCATAAACGGGTAACCAGCGGGCAATCCCCCAAATGTGTGCAAAAGTGCCCTAGTTGGAACAACCCCTAAACAGGAGGAAGGGTAGGAGGGGAGGGCCTTAGAGATCCGCTGGGGAACCAGGTACCACAGAGGTGGAACTCTTAGAGGTAGACAGCCACATCTGCGACCAACTCTCGTCCAATGCCACAACCCCCGACTCCCACTGGCCAACATAGGAAGGTGGGGCTGACTGCAGAGGTGCTAGGAGGAGGGAATACAAAAGAGAGGTAACACCCGGGGAATGAGGGTTTGAGACACATAACCCCTCAAATGTAGAGGACTAAGGAAATCAATGTTGCAGAGTGTCAAGATAGTGCTTAACTTGAAAATACCGGAAAATTTCCCCTGAAGGGAGATGGAAATGCTCTTGGAGGTAAGAGAAAGAATTCACACCGGGAGGTGACCAACCGGGAGACACGAAATAAGCGATTTGTAGCCCAGTGCCTAAACGCTTGAGGGTGGTCATAGCCAGGTAGAAATTCCAGGTTGGCCAAAATGGTAAGCAAGGGGGAGTGTGGCGATGAAAGGACCCCAGAATATTTTACAGTATCCCATACTCTCAAAGAATGAGCAGTAATCGGATTGGTAGCCGGGCTCCTCCAACGAGGATGAAGCCACAAAAGATTATCAATAGCAAGAATTTTAGGATTTTTATATTCAACCTTAAATACTTTTCTTGGAGTCAATTGAGGGACATAAGAAGTCTTAACCCTTCGGGTTGCCAACAGGAGGAATGGATGCTGGCAAACAAAAAAAGAAAACAATAGACCGGCCCAGGGTTTAACCCCTCCTACTACCAGCAACCCTCAGTTTTGTAGCAAAGCAGTACTGAAAGCATAATCATAAACACAAAGGAGTGGAATTTTACAGTGTGTACAAAAATCCCATCAATCGCTAACAGGCCCAACGTATACAGGAAACTGCTTGCAGTTTAAGGAGCCGCCTGAAGGACCTTATGCCTGAATCTAGCACCAGGTGAGGCTAAGAAAAATCCACGTGGTAGAACTTAGAGAACGTATAAACAGAAGACTGGGTGGCAGCCTTACAAATCTGGGAAACATTTGCCTGATGCTGAAAAGCACAAGAGGCATTTACAGAACAGACCTAGTGGAGCAAGTCCTAAGAGGAAAGGGGGCAACCTTATCCTTGAGACAATACGTTTAAGTGATTGCATGTCTAAACCACCTAGAGCTGGTGGAAAGACAAGCCAGGGCATCTTTCTGGGGCCCATCCAGAATGCCAGAAAGAAAATCAGTCTTTCTGAAAGAAGCAATGGCTAAGAGACAGATTTGCATTGCCTAAGCCACATCCAGACCACCTTAGGTAGGAAGGAAGTCCTGGGCCTCAACACCAAAAAGGGCTCTTTGTAAGATAAAGCCACCAGTTCAAATACTTGCCTCATAGAGGCTACAAGGAAAAACAACATTGAGGGCAAGAGTAGGGAAAGGAATATCTCTAAAGGGTTCAAACAGCGGCTTCTTAAGTAGGGTACACATGTAGCAAATCTGGTTCTTAAAGAACTGGCCGAAAGTGGCTCCGAAACACAGTGGTTGCCCCCGTCGGCAGCCTTCCGCCTGGCATCCCTCGATCGGCTGATCAAAGGAGCAGGTTAGAACATTTTCATCCGAACAAAGCTGATGAAGTGATGCTAAGTGGCTCGGAAACACTGCCTGCTTGTGACAAGATGTACGCACGTCAAGTAAAGACTTATTTGAACATCTGACCTTGGTGTGCTGGTGACATGCCATTCTTACAAGGAGAAATAAAAAATACAGTTCCTTTAGCATTCTACTTACCGAGTTCTAGATTTAACTTGTGTTCCATAACCAATCTCCTTTTCTTCCCAAATATCTTCCTCTTCATCATCAAACTGTTGGATACGCTCATTGCAGCATGCTTCAAACAGAGCAGCATTAGGCTGAACACAAAATGTAAAAAGGACATGTAATAGTATATAAAATATGCCCCATGCCAACACACCTAACACTGAAAAATTATCTATAATCTATACAAGTCTGTGGGGGATATCCGGACTTTGCAGTACACTGCACAATACAGAAACTGAAAGCATACTGGGCAGTGTAGGCAAACTAGTAGAGCAGTGCTTTTAAACGCAGCATATTGACAGAAGGACATAACAGAGGTACGTAATTTACACCATAAACTCAACTCTCTCAAATAAATGCAGTTATTGTTATTATCTAATAAATAAATATTAAGGTCTACTTTTCCTCTGCATATCTAAAATGTGTGATTCTTTTGTGTGTTTAAAATGTATGGAACTCCGTCCATTAGCATAGCTCAAAATGGATTACGGAGAAAACAAACTCGGTGAAAGCTGTACTTACATTTTCATCTTCCGCTTCCAAGTTAAAGTTAATCTCTGTGATTCGGTCAAACGGTGCACTATAATAAATAGAAAGACTAGGAGTTAGACATCTATCTAATGTAAATATAAAAACATTGAATAAGCAGTCAAAACACAACAGAACAAAGGTTTAGGAATAAATTCATAACTATATCTCCTCAACAGAAAACCACACTATACACCAATCAGCTTTACTTGTTCATACCTTAAAGTACAATTGCACCTATAGTGACGTTATTTATTACATTTATTATATGATAGCTTCATGTAACATCGCAGCAGTGAGTAAAGTTTCCATGCACCAATGTGCGGTCTCATGTAACTCGAAAGGAGTAAAGTAATGACCTTACATATAGACTGAAAGTCTTTAGCATTTTTCAACAATAGCATTACTTGAATTCTGGGCTATTTTCAAGAACATTGTTGCCAATATTGTGCAACAATTTACCTGAATAACATACATGCTTATGAAAACAAATCTAGCAATACCATTGTATCATAAACACATAAAAGGTGAAAAGGTTTAGTACTTAATGTTATCTTCCTGTTCAGCAAATTCCTCATCGTTAAAACCAAACTGATCCACAAAGTTAGAAGTCATTTGTTGAACTTGATAGTCAGAGAAGGCCTGAAATCAACAAAGCAAAAACTCATTGGTACTTCGCCTCTAATATGTAAGCCCTCCTAAAGTTCAATGTTGCAACTGTGTATTGTATAAAACAGATGTTTTAATGCGTGGCATAATTACCCACAAATAGCTAGTAGTATACTTAACACACAAAATAAAATACCCAAAAGAATCAATAGAACTATATGCATATATTAAAAACCTATATGACTCACTTGCTGCACAGACAATTCATTCGGAAAAGCACTGTCAATATCTTCATCTTCGCTTGAGGAACGCAGGTGGTGAGTATTCACCTAAAAATGACAAAAGAAAAAATCACTAATTTTATATAAATGACACATTATCACACACAAGAAATGGTAGGGAATAAAGAATGGTAGGAAGGCAAAGGACCAACTAGGAAAGGCAACTAAACGCACATTCTTGCTGAAGACTCAATATAATAGATTTGTTAGATTTATTTTAGGCCCAACAAAACTCCTGTGTTTAAAAGGAGAACTATGGGATAAGTGTTTTTCCACATTAGTTCTCCTCAGGGTCACGGGAGGACATATACTAGTGTCCTCCCGTGGCCCAAAGCTCAGTATACCGTGAGCTACAGCTCGCGGTAAACTGAGACCGTCGCGGCCAGGACGGATCCCGGCAATACTGTTGAGATCCACCCAGCTGCGTGATTGACAGCTGGCTCTGCCTATTTAGAGGCAGACCCAGCTGTACCCGCCCCCTCCCGTCCGTTCCGCCAGTCAGCGCTGGAGGATCGGTGCGTGAGGGGGGACAGTCATGGCTCTCTGCAGCGACATGATCGAGAAGTGAGCGAACGACGGTATGTGTTCGCTCACTTCCCAATCAATAGACAGTTTCATTGTCACACGTCGGCTCGAACTATGAGGTTGAGTGAAAATCACTCACCTCATAGTTCCCCTTTAGGTACTGGAGGTATAAAGCAGAAAGTGATATTACTTTTTGTAATGCTGCAGCTTTCTAAGAAAAACAAAACAGGATTTTTTTCTTGGAGTTAATTAAGGTGCATAGGAAGTCTTATATTGTTGGGGTATTCTACAGCCTACATGAGGATAAGACAATAACAAACAAAAAAAAGTAGGCCAGCCAAGGATAACCCCCCCCCTACTTCCAGCACACTTCAGTTTTGTGGTAAAGTAGTACCAAAAGCAGAATCATAAAAGACAGACGGGTGGGACCTGTGCAAACAGAAATCAAAACAATAACGGGCCCACAAAACTTTAAGGACTGCCTGCAGCACAAAGATACACCTGGAGAACCTTACTCCTCAAGTTGGCATCAAGTTGGCACTCCTCAAGAGCCCAAGAGGCATCAACAGATCTAGCAGAGTGTGTCTTGACTGGAAAGTGTAGTGCCTGGCCCTTGAGAACATAAACTTGAATAATGGTCCTTCTGAGCTATATATAGTGAAATGGTGAAACAAGAAGCAGATTCACCATTACAGGGACCATCAGGGATAACAGAGCCAGTCTTTCTGAAGGAAGCAGTGGCTGCAAGAGAAATTCTTACAGCCCAAATAAATTCAAGCAATGGGAGGGAAATCTGATAAACTGGAGCCAGACAGGTGGACAGAAGAATGATGTTCTGGTTGAGGTAAAAGGCCAAAACTACATCCGGTAGGAAGGAAAAATCTGGGCCTCAATACCACCTTGTCCCAAGCTCATAAATTGTTCTTTACAGAATAATGCCTCCAGCTCACAAACTCTCCTCAAAATGACCTTCCAGAAGACCGGAGGAAAAAACTTTCCCGACTATAGAACTGGATTCCTAAGCTATCAAGCCAGGGAACAACTGGTCTTTTTCGTCACAGACGCAATGAATCTTTACAAGGACTGGACTAACTTGTCCCAAGACAAAAATAATGTGTTATAGGGGTCTGGAGAAAAACTGCATTGAAGGAGGCTACTATTAGCCCGGGGACTCTCATGCAGAAGCAAAGAGTCGCTGCTGGATTGATGGATACGAGTCTGGGAGTGGAGAGTTTAAAGTTTCTCTTGGGAAGGAAAAACAGGATTTTTGTCTTACCTGTAAAATTGGTTTCTTGGAGTATAACACTTGGAGTTAATTCTGGGACCAATGGGTTATGCAGCTACCTGTATAATTCCTCCCACTCTCAACTTGCCCAGTTTTGGAGCAAGCAGTACAAGAGAGGATCACACAAAAGAGAAGAAAACCCTCTGAGGGTACTTTATCAAAACTGGAGCAGAACAAATCTGGAGCAACTGTGCATGGCAACCAATCAGCTTCTCTCTTCAGTTTGTTCGGGTTAAGATTTGAAAATGAAATTGAGAAGCTGATTGGTTGTCATGCTGCTCCAAATTTTGTCTGCTCCAGTTTTGATAAATTCCCTTTCGTGTCTTGTGATGTACTCCAATTAACATATTTTACAAGACAAAAATCCTGTTTTCTTGCTTTTATATCAAAGGACACAGGGAGTATTATCCGATACCAAAGGGACTTGCAAAATCAGTCCAAGAGAGGGGCGAGAACCACAGCAAACAGCTAACAAGCCCTTGAAAAACAAAAAACACACCCAAACAGGAAACTTTAACAGAAGGGGCCTAAAATCAGAGAGCTACCTGAAAAACTTTGCAACCCAAGCTAGCAAATGAGAACCTGGCTGCCCCCTACAGGGATCTTCAGGAGTGAGGAGGATGGAGTCAGACTTACAGTTGGAAGCTGTAGCAGAGAGGTCAAATTTGAAAAGCACAAACCTTGTCCAAACAGTGAAGAGAGACTTCTTTAGAATGTTTAGGTGCAGGACATAAGGATGGTAAAACAATGTCCTGGTTAAGGTGGAAAAAAAAGAGACCACCTTAGAAGGAAAGAAGGCTTAGGTCTCAATACTAACATATCCTTGGGCACCAAAAAAGGCTCTTTACAAGGCAAGGATGCCAACTAAGAAACACATTTGGCAGAAGCGATGTAAACAAGGAAGGCAACCTTGTGAGTGAGTAGGGTCAAGGGGGGTTGAAGGTCGGGTTCTGCAGCATTAAGTTGAGGTCCCACAGAGTCACCTGAGTGCATACAGGGGGGACAACACCAGTGACCTCCTGCAAAAAGTAGTTTGGTAGGGAGTGAGACAATTAGTCTCTGGAAGAGAATTGCCAAGGTAGAAATATGACCCTCGATAAAATTCAAGGCTAAATGCTGGTCTAGGCCAGGCTGGAGGAAATATGAGATGCCTCCCACACTGTCTTTCCTGGAATGAAACTTCCTTGTTTCGCAACAAGTGAAATAAGCCTTCAATGTGCAATGGTAGACCTTGCAGGAGGAAGATTTTCTAGCTTTCAGGAGTGTATGGACCTGAGATTAAACAGCCTAAAAAAAGCATGGTGGAATACCAGGAGGTCTGGACAATCATAAGTGTACACCGAAGTCTGCCAGGAGTTTGACTATTTCCACATACCATGGTCTCCTGGGTCATTGGGAGCAATGTGAATCAACAGAATGAGTTTCACAGAAGGAAATGCATAAATCAAACTGAACTGAACACAGACTAGTATCTTTGGGCAAGGCCAACATTGGCGGCTCTAATTGTAAAAAAAGTATGCAATGTGTCCATGAGGACAGAAAGAGTGTCCTCGAGCTTAGGAGATATGTCAGGAGACAGGTTCTATTCTTAAGCTTGGTCCACCAAACTGGAAGCAGTCCCTTCTTTCTCAGGGAGCGCAAAAGCAGAGGAAGGCCTGAGGGGGACTCTGTGGGGGAAGGTAAATTGTGGCCCGCTTGCGACCACTGCAGTCTGAGGACTCCAATAGTCCAGACATGAGGTTTTTCAGGGACATGTATATAGGGTTTCTGTAAAGATAAGCAGCCAGAGGATTCAGCAATTGTACAGGTTAGAAACATTTACCTACTGCTACTCTTCCCGCTGGCGCCTGGTGGCATCTGCACATTTCTTGCCCACCATTGCTTATAGACAAGTATAAAAAGGTAGACATGTGCGATTCGTTTCGTTCCGAATCGAAATTCGGACGAATTTTCGGAAATTCGGACATTCGGATGTATCCGAATTCCGAATTACAGACATAACGAATGCAAACGAATCCGAATTTCCATTTCCGAAATTCGGTATCGGTAGTTCGAACGTTCGTTTCGTTTTCTGTTTTTATTCGTTTCTTATTCGTTTCGTTCGTTGGAGCAAAGTGACATTAGAGAAGGAGAAAAATATTTTTTCCCCCTCAAATGTCACTTTGCTGCAAACGAACGAAACGAATAAGAAACGAATAAGAACAGAAAACGAAACGAACGTTCGAACTACCGCTACCGAATTTCGTCCGAATCCGAATTCCGAATCTGAATTGACTTTCACACCCGAATCCCGAAAAACGAAATAACACAAATCCGAATTTAAAACGAAACTAAACGATTTTTTTGGCAGTGCACATGTCTATAAAAAGGTACCTGGAAGCCAAGTTTGCATAAAGACACGTTCCTGCATTTCCTATTGTGCTTTGAGGTTTATGGTCATAATAAAAGTTTGCAAATCTTACCAAATCCACAGTGTTCCTGCGATTAGTTTCAGTCAATGTTTCCTCAACAAAAGTCTCCCATCTTCCTTTGCAATCTTCAGGCAGCTCTACAAAGTTGTAAACAACATTAAGCACATTCGGCTTTGATCCACAGTGAGACGCTTTACAAATCTAGTTGCAGATATAAAAAGAAGCCTTTTTGATAGTAAAGACTACTCATATCAAATGTATTTTAGGCAAACACCTGATTCTATATATATCAATATTACCTGTAATAATATCACTGATCTGTGCTTGCATAGGACCCTTCTCCATATTCTGTACAACTGCATTGGCAATGCGCGTTAAGTGACCCATGTTCCCTCTTCTCATCCCTCCTGCAGCCCTGCAAGCAAAGACACGTATAATATAAATAAAATAGCATTATAGCTTCTCAGAATCTAGAGATATTCATAAGTAAATGCACACACTGTATATGCTCCAAGTTGCAATATCACTAGGTAACTGAAAAAACTTCCTCGACTTAAATCTGATCAGCAAGGGTGACATATCATTGTGTTACCTTATTTCTTTTTACCATGTGACTTTCCTGTAAGAGCACAGAGCATGCCAAGTCTTATTTCACAGCAGCACACAAAATACTGCACATCACCAGTCTGTTGGTCTGTAGCTCTAAACGGGGGAGCTTTTCAATGGTTACAATCATGCCTGCTAGCTGTAAGGCATAGTGGTAATTAACCATCCTATACCACTCACAATGGATTGGATGGCAGGGATTATATAAAAGGAGTCTTATAAAGTGGCTGCTATGGGGAATTTGCAATTTGAAATAGCCACAGATATAACAATTATAAAACGTAATGAAATATGCTCTTTAACATCATCAATATTCAATGTAAGTCGTTGTTTCTAAATACATGAAGCACAATAACTCACTGAATCTTGTCATTTGTATCCCAGGCATCCAATATTCTTTGTACCAGGCAGCATTTCTGGAAAAGCTAAAACAAAATCATAATTTTCACTGAATATGAAGTCTTAAACAGATAAGAGAACTGACTACAATAAAGCAAAAAGATAAGAAGGCCTCTGATATTACATTTTGTAATATGGTCATTTCCAGCTGCCAATAAAAATAACCAAATCACTGCTACTATTATAAGAGCTCATGCACACGAGCGGCTGAGCCCGTACATTCCCCTGACAAGGAGCAGCATCCTTCTTCTGAGGAGATCTCAGTGAATGTTAAGTAGACCCAAATCTCACTAGAGGATGATCCTGCTATGCACTGCAATGTCTTTTTGCGAGATTTGGGCTACTCAGCATTTCCCGGGATCACTTTGCCGTGAGAATTACTTCTTTCCTTGCACTACAGAAGTCAGGGAAAGGGGAGTAATATCATAGAATGATTTTTCTACTTTCATGAAACGTTTAAGGGAGAAGAGGCAACATTGAATAAGTGGACCTTGCCTGTATTGCAAGGTCCACTTTAATAAAACTTTTTACTCTGTGATGCCTTTGTAAAATTAGTGTAAACATAGAAATGTAAAAAAAAATTTATCACTTAAAGAAGAACTATGGGGTTAGGGCTTTTCACCCATAGTTCTCCTAAGGGTAACAGGAGGACACAAACTAGGGTCCTACCGTCACCCTAAGCTCTGTATACCGCGAGCTACAGCTCGCGGTATACTGAGACGCCGCAGCGGATCCCGGCAATTCTGTCTGGATCCACCCAGCTGCGTGAGTGACAGCTGTCTCTGCCTATCTAGAGGCAGAGCCAGCTGTACCCGCCCCCTCCGCTGTCCGTTCCGCCAGTCAGCTCTGGAGGATCGGACAGGGGAGGGGAAATCCCTGCAGGGCGCCGTGAGTGACAGTCACGGCTCTCTGCAAGGATGGATCGATAAGTGAGCGAGCGCCGGTATGTGTTCGCTCACTTCCTGATCTACTGAGCCAACCTGTGACAGTTTCATTGTCACAGATTATGAGGCTGAGTGAAAATCGCTCCCTCATAATTCTCCTTTAAGATCTACTCCATTACCCATAATGGAGCAGCAAAAGAGCAACATGTTGCTGATTTAAGCAGTCAAGAAGTGACTCCTCAGAAATGTGGTAGTTAAATTCTAGAAAGTTTCTAGCAAAGGATCATAGTCCTATCAAAACAGGAATTAAAGTAATCCAAATTAGCTAGTGTTATGTCAGCACAATATTTTGTGAAAGCATCCGATTTTAGCAGTGTAACTGCTTTACTCAGTTTTTAATTGTATTTAAGTTGTAAAGGTAGTATTTTACAAACAGGTTCAAAATCAAGAGCCATAAAACTGCAAGTGATTTGACACAGCTAAGCCAAAGAAATACAAGGACGCTACAATCTTCTAAAAATAGATTTACATGTGTAATCATGAGATCCTCTTCCTCAGGTACTGATTTCTCAGACTCTTCTGTATTGCCATTAAGTGACTCTTCATTTTTTCTCTCATCCACAATTGAAGCATTTCTTCCATCTTGCAGAGAATGGGAGAGGATTGCCGCTATACAAAACTCAACCTGGACATGTAGAAAATTATTCCAGGTGTACCGAAAAAACAGGTCCTGTTTTTGAGAAGAGATGAGAGAATTTATCTGGAATATTGTATGCAATTCTTAAACTACAACTAAAAGCTCCTGTATGATGGTTTAAGCAAGTACCAAATCCAGTTACTATGTGATGCACAAGCCCCCTGACGAAGACAAATCCTCCTTCATATGTGTCTCACATTCTCCCCCTCCCAGACACTGCAGCTCACAGTAGGAGGATTTCTGCCAAGTGTTGCCAATTCCGAAAGCAGTGGGCAGGTGCTGATTAATAAGCTACAGCCTTGAATTGGCAGTAATAATGCTGGTTGCCAAATCCCCTGCAACAAGAAGGCACAGCCGACATAAGTGGCAACTTGGTTCTGAATTAAGGCATTACTGCCACACCATCACAGGAAGCTACATTAGGTGGCATTTCAAAACTTATTTTTTTAAGACAACCTAGTTGGTAGCTGTCCACATCTTCCAGTACTGAAGCGTGCATGTCACTTAAGGCTATGGGGTGTTTTAGGAAGAGTGGTTGGCCCTCTCTGTGGAGACAAAGGCTGAAAGTGCAGGCGTGCTGTGCACTGCCAGATCAGCATGTGGTTCTCTGGAGTGTTTAATGCAGGGGGACAAGAAAGTACTCTTGCCAGCACAATTATTAGGTACAATTTGAGAATGTAAGGTGACCTGTACATATTTTCTTTATAAAAGTCAAGGCTAGGGAGCCTGAAAGGCTCCTCCGTAAACAATTTAATCTCTCCATGCATATATGTACATCTGCAAAGAGGGAAATTGCTAAAAATTGGCTCACAAAGCCCCTCAGTATCCACAGTGTAACTAACCACATCAACTGGGTTATGTCACAGGAAAAAAGAACAGGTCAACTCAATGACCATATGAGCAAATTTGAAAATACTTGGTCTCCCTGGATTGATAAGTACTTCACCTCACCTACCTCGCGCCGACTCTGTTATATAATTGACCTTCAATACCCTCCTACACATATCACACCTACGTGCAACCCAAAAACCTCTCTCACTCATCCTTCTCCCCTCCTGCCTGTCTTCCATTATCCCCCTCCCCCCCTGTTGTCTTGTCTGTTAGTCATGTCAGGTGTCGCATATTGACACGCTCGGTTACCCATAAGGGGGGCAACTACTGGGTACATTCCAATCAGAGTGCATGCCATTTCTCTACATGCTGGGGCGCTACCGGCACCTTTGGGAGTAGAGCCTTGAGCTCCATTTATCGAGCGCACGTCATAGCGAATGATGGTGGAGCCTTCTCCACACTCACCATAGTAGATGTATGCTGTACGCCAGAGCCCCGCTGTTGGAATGTATATCTGAAATGTAAACACTATTCTACCTGTCAATAACATACATGTATCACCTGAAGTTGTCAACCTATTGTACTAATATGATATCTATTGCTGAGCGGCATTACTGCTTTTTTTTCTGTCTCTGTAACGAGTGCCCAACAGTTCTGTACCTTCGGAAATTACACCAAATGTATAAATATATGTGAAGATGTCTTCCATATTTGTAAACCAATAAAAAAAACTTTATTTGGAAAAGTCAAGGCTAGGGAATGAGGCTGAGGTGCAGTAAGCAGGGAGTGGTCAGGGTAAGTAATCCACCAAAGCCATTGTCCACTAACTGACACCAAAGTTTCCCTACTGACACTAATAGCCCCCCTACAGACACCACTGACCACAATGACATGTTGCACTGTTTTCCTACCGCTAACCTCCAGACATTTACTTTCCCCCTGACCAGGGATAGAATACATATGTTCTAGTGCTGAAGCATGTTTTTCTCCCACTCACCATCAACACCGTGCTTTTTTCCTCCCACTGAACACAGACACCAGGCATTCTTTCCTCCTGCTTACCTCCAACACAGGGCTGTGTGCACCGCATGCCAATTCCAAGCCAGGGTGTCTCTTATATTCAAATTTAAAGTTTCACTTTCTACATTGTACTGTACATTACATACTTCTGGTATTGCCACTCTGTGCAGTGTACTGTACACTACACACTCCTGAAAGCAGAATTCTGTATACTGCACTGCATGTTGCATACAACTGACAGACCCACTATTGTGCACTGTACTGTACATTATATACTCCTAACTGCACTGCCCGCTACACTGTACTGTGTGTTACATATGGTTTACTGCTCAACTTTGTATGCTGTAAAGTTCCTTACATACTCCAGACTGCCTGATTTTGAACACTGTACTGGATGTTACATACCCTGGACCACCCAGTCTGTACACTGTACATCTTCAAATTTAGGTTCCTGCCTTGTTTTTTTTATAAGACACAAAAAATGGTTGCCGGGTGGGGTACAGGCACTCATGAAAGCTTTCTTTGGGCCCACGAGTGCCTTAAAATTGCCTTGCAAAGGGATTCTTATTCCTTATCGGATAGCTCCGTTCAGTTTCTGTCTGACAAAGCAAGCATCAAGGAAGGCAGCTGTTGCTGTCTCTTTAGATAACCTATAGTGCTCTAAGAATTCACTTTCATATATTACATGTTTATTTAACATAATACATAAAGAACCAGTTAAAAACATATGAAATAAAATTGGCACAAACAATTATAGCTTTTAAAAAGGGCACAGTAGGCACAAAAAGCATTTCCAGTTAACCCGGTAATCCCCTTTTCTTCTAGCTTTCGCTCTAATAGCTCCTGAGTTTAACTGGGATCAGGAGCTGTAGTTTTAGATTTACAAAAAGAAAAAAGTTATTTCAGTTACTGTACAAGAAATGCAAAAGACGGCAACTTATTAGAGACAATGGAGAGAAATTTACTGCTTTGGAGTGTGGTGTATAAGGACATAGAGAAGGAATATATTAAAAGTTCAAATATATTGAAATGTTTTTACAAAAAAAGCCCTTACTAAGGGTAGCACAGAAAAATTTGGAACCGTATATTGTGAACTGAGCTATTTTATCCTGATGTAATTGGCAGCTACGGGTTGCTGGACACAACAGCTATGTAACCATTTCAAATAAACATGGAAAAGCAGCATAAAACATGTTATTCTTCAGCTACTGCAGTTAATCCCGGCCTCTTATCTGAAGTACTTACAAGTAAGAGATCCATGGTACCAAGCTGACAGAGCTCTTGGTTAATACTGGGAGTATTGGCGTGCAACAAGGCAGCGATGAGGCGTGTAGTGTGGAGACGGGCATTGCCCAAAGGTTCTTCCAGAATACCAATAGTGGTCAAGATTGATTCTTTCTGTAATATAAATGATAGAACTAATGCAATAATCATTACTAAGCATTGCAAGGCTGGCTCTTTTAATCATAAGATGTTGTACCCAGTTCAAACAACAGAAAAACTGTTTTGTGGTCACCTGTAGCAGCTGGGGAAATAAAGGGTTGTGTTCTTAACGTAAAATCTTTAGAGTCCATTGAGGGACACAGCTATGAAGAAATCTGATATGTAGGATTATACTGCTGCCTCTAGGAGAAATGAACGCTATGCAAACAACAAATTAAAAGCCTACCACTTAAAGAACATAACCGCTCCCACCTCACACCGCCAGGTGTAGCAAGCAGTATGAAAGGAAATGAGGGGAAATTTATTTAGAGCTGTGTCCCTCAATGGACTCCCAAGAAAAATATTTTACGGTAAGAACAAAATCCTATTTTCTCTATCATCCATTGAGGGACACAGCTCTAAAGAAATTTGATACATAGGAATGTTCAAAAGCAGTCCAAAACAGAGGGATGGGCACCATAAAAACTAGGATAACCCGTTCAACAACAAAAAGGAACTGTAAATTTATATAATTAAAAACAGCCGTGTGAACAAATTTTCTGCCAAAACCAGTGTCAGAAGAGGCAGAAACATCAACTTTATAATATATGACAAAAGTATAAACAGAAAAGCATACTGTACATTAGTGTGTACTGATTCCACGGAGCTACTAAGGCACCCACCACATCTGCCATTGGATCCCTTTTTATGGATACAAAATCGGCCCACCTTCATGTTGTGACAAGAAGCTAGAAGGTCCACATCCAGCATCCCCCAAGGCTCAAAAAGATGTTGAAAACACCTCCTGATGAAGAGACCATTATCCTGGATTTCTACTCCTGGAATTTGGACCGCTGAGATTGCTGGAACATGAAGTTCCGCCCAATCTAAGATCAAATGAACCTCCTCCACTACCGACACACTCCATGTGCTGCCCTGGAGACTGATGGAAGCTTGGATTCCACTGCAAACCAAAGGCCTTGCACAGACAGATGATCTAATACACCACCCCATCCCACAAGACTGGCTTCTGTTGTGAGAATCTTCCCTTTTATAAGAAAAAACTTTCCCGTGGTTAACACATCAACCACCATAAGACACCCTTGATAAGACACTCAATCTGCAAAGGGACAGTAGAGGCGCCACTGCACTTGTTCTATGCATGTGGATAGAATAAGTGGCTGTGTCCCCTTAATCCTTTTTCTCATAAGCAAAAGAGCAGCATATAAAAAATTATTCCTTAGTTGCCATGTACCTTAGCCATTTGTTTCAAAACCACAGCTGTTTAGAGTGAGAGAAAACCCACCGGCTCTGAAAATCACAATCGTAGCCGCACATGTGCATGCATGCACAGGAGAATTTTTAACATGTTACAAAGTCTATGTCCCGGCCTCTTATAGATAATGTACACAAACCCCAGAACAGGCCTGTAATCTATTATGGATATACACGTTAAGCATTACACTAGGGATGCACTGATACCAGTTTTTCAGTATCGAGTACCGATATTTTGCTGTTGGTACTCGCTGATATAGAGTACCGACACTGGTGCCAATGCTGGCAGGGAGCCGGCTTCCCGGGCAATCAGGAAACCGGGCAGTGGGTAATGACAGGCCCCCAGGCTTCCTGATTTCCTGGCAAGTCGGCTCCACGTTTGGTCGGCTTGATGCTGATTGGCTGGGAAGCTGGCCTCCCAGCCAATCAGCATGGAGCTGGCTTCCTGAGCAATCAGGGAGCTGGGCCGTGAGTAATGACTTGACTTTTCAGGCATATGTGAGTAGACATGGGACTAGGACATGTGACCATGAACATCATCTCAGGGGAGGAAAATGCCTTTCCCTGAGATTACAGATGAGATTTCCCAGCAATGTTCTGCTGATGGCAAGGCAATCCCAGTGCGCATTGCTTTGGGAAACTGAAGTAATTTGCACTTTTAAAGCAGGAAGTGAATGCTCTGCAAGTGTAAGTATTTCAAAGTCAAAGCATTTTACATCTGACATGTCTATGTTATTATTAATCATCATACATAGAGGGATGCATTGGTAGAATTAGATTTTTGAGTGTAAAGGTCCGCTTTAATAGGAATCCCTAGACAATACTGGTCTGACCGAATGATTGAAGCAACGATGGAAATTCGGCACCACCGCAGGATGTCTTATAAGTACTGAGACCAGAAATGGCCTGTTCACAACCACCTTAGGACAAAGCATATGTAGGTAAACCAGAAACGTCCTGTTTTCTGAGTACTAGAGAAACTTCCAGGATTTTACATATCTGGGATGAATCTCTAAGTCTAGTCGGCTAGCTAGCAAGAACTCCCAGGATTTAATTCAATCCTTGTGTCCATTTCTCCTAGAGGCAGCAGCATAACCCTACGTATAAGATTTCAACAGAGCTGTGTCCCTCAGTAGACAATAGAGTAAAAGACAACTACATGCAGTGGATATAACAAGCCACATATACTTAAAATAGCTTGAGCCCTGTAACTAATATTTAGTGCAGATGAAATAGTGATTCTTAAGCATTGTTATTGAAGGGATTAATTAATGAACACTGTTTGCAATGCTGAATTCTAGGGTAAAATGTTAACAAGTAAAAATTCACCTTTGGAGGATTTTGAAGCAGGTGGTGAAAATCCTTCAGGCGTGATTCTATACCGTGAAGAATACTACTGCTTACTACAGCAGGAGCTGGTCTTTCATATCCCTGAGGAAATGAATCTAGGAGAGGATCCGTACTGCAGAGAACAACAAAAGCAGTAAGAAGTAATGAATCACTCTATTAGTGACATACTGCAAGAGAGAAAGTAAAAGTAAGAAAGTATGAGCTTAGCTCAGAGCCAATCTATACGAGACAAAATAGAAGTATCGGTCCAAACAAGTTTACATTTTCATATATGATGTGTATGGAATGCTAAGCTAGAAATCAGATGCAGGCTTATTAATAGACTAGCTTCTGTAAACAGGCAATTCAGCCTTAAAATCGATCACATGGCCTTCTTAGGCAGCACTGCTGTACTGACATACCTTGATCTTCTAGTTTCCAGTAGAGTCAGCAAGATCTGAGTGCCACTAACAACACAGCTGTCAGTCTGCTCTCCATCAAACATATTGTGCAAAAGTTGCTCCACACACTGCTGCCTACAAAATAACAGATACAAGATTACAAAAACAGAAATATTTAGGAAATCCCATCTTTTTTATGATGTATGACAAGAGGACAACAGGATAGCACATGAGCATCAAAGGAAGTGGAAGGAGGCCAATCCCTTGCCCAATATAAAAGAACTGAGTGTATTGCAGGCACATACAAAGCAATGGAACAGTATCAGACTGCGCTGTTGTTACAGTATCACAATTAGAAACTGCTTTGCTCACGGGAATAGTGTTATACTCCTATAAAATAATCAGCAAGTTGTACTTTTACTTTATCTCTGGGGGAATCGGCCTTCTTCTGGTCTTTCCCCAATGGGACACCTCCTCTATCACACACATTGGTCTTTCACCAGTATCGCTCCTCCAGTACACACAATTTCCAGTGTCTCCACCTGAGTCTTCTCAGTCTGCAATTTAACTCTTTCACCTACCCCCAGCTTATGAGCATTAACCCCTTCTCAGTCCTCAGCCCATGTGTGTCATCTCCTTAGAGCTTAGTCCTCAGGTGAGTTAACCCCCGAGTGCCACTTCTTAACCGCATACGTGTTAACCCACCAACACCCAGTCCCACTGGCGGAACTACCAGGGTCGCAGCGGTCGCAATTGCGACCGGGCCCTGGCATTCCGCCACTTGGGGGGGCCCAGCGAGGAAGAAGGGGGCCCCCAAGATCGTATCCTGCAAGGTCGCCATCAGGGGGTACAGCCACTGAAGTTGAAAGGTGCCCAGGCGGCCGGGCTCCAAGCTATAACTTTTTATTATGAAATTATAAGACTAATGCAATTTTGCATGTCCCGGGCCCCCCCTGCCTGCCTGCTATTGGAATCTTCCTCAGACGTGCGTGCAGGGGGCGGAGCTTGCTTTCCCCGGGCAGAAGCGTCGGAGAATGTGGCAGAAGAGGAGCTGCAGGTCGGCTGTCTGGAGGAAATGTAAGTGTTTCCCTGCAGACAGAGTCCCCGGGGATGTGCTAGAGACTGGGGGGTGAGAGAAAGATCGACCGACGCTGAAAGCTTCTCTGCATTGGTCGGTCGGTCTCTCTCATGCTTCCCTTCCTCCTCTGAGCATCGGCCTGTGTGTGCTTCTCACTCTTTCCCCCCCTCCTCCTTTCAGAGAAGGGGGAGGCAGGGGGGGAGGTGAGAGAGACCGACGGACGCTGGGGGAGGGGGGTTAAGAATGAGAGGCCCAGACCCTTCACACTGTGCTGAAATTTCTTTAAAATTAGAGAAATGGAGTATATTAGGGAATATTACACTGTAATGTTCCCCAATATAATCTATTTCTCTACCCCTGCTTTGGATAACATTTTGCATTTACTTTGTATGGCCTGATGCCCGGGACATGCAGTTCCAGGCGCCAGGCAGGTGGTTTCTTCTCTCGGTTCAGCTCAGCTGTGGGCAAGCAGCCGGGTTAAAGTTTTGTTGTTATATTTTTTTCTTTGCCGAGTTGAGCAGCGAGGAAAAGAGCATCAGGCAATTCTGCCGACAACCCTCAGAAGTCCCCCCACCTCCCCTGCTGACTGCCATCATATCTCATGATCCTCTCCTGCACATAATGCCATCTGTTATACTTTCCACACTTCTCTCCTGTACAGTCTGCATAATTGTCATACCTTCCACACTAAACCTCCAGCACATTTTATAACCTCCACACTTCCTCCTGCACCATCATACCCACTGAACTCTTCTACTGTACATACTGCCTGCTGTCATACCTTCTGGACTTCTCTCCTGCACATATACTGTCTGTTGTAATAGCCTCCACACTCCGCTCCTGCCTATATTTACCCACCATGCTCCCGCCTACTATCCCATCATACGCCTCGCACTTCTAACGCATATTGGCCCTCCCCATCATTGCCCCTGCACTTGTCTCCAGAACATACTGCCGCTCAGATGCTTCTTTATCATTGCCATATCTGAATCCTGCCCTGTTCTGGGAATGGGCACAATTCTGCTAGTAAATGCAAAGGCTAAACAGCAAACCAAACAATCATCTGTATAAAAATTTGAAGGTGAACAAGATATTAACAAATATGTATTTGAGTGCTTTAAGTTATAATTTTTGCACATCACAAATAAAGGAGCAGTCCAAAAACCGGTCAAAGAGACCTATACTCACGATTCAAGAGTTACTAACAAAGGATCAGTCTCTAATATCTCCTGCATTTGATTGCACTGATCTCTGCTCAATCGGATTAGATCACATAAAGTTTGAGATGCATTAGACTGCCTCTGAAAAGACAAAATGGGACAGAAATGTGAGTGCATCACAAGGCATTAAACTACTTCAAATGGTAGCTTCATCAAGGCCAACGGGCATCTGGTTTTCTAATTTATCCATGCGAACTATACCCTGCACCGACCGACCTTCAACCCCAGCAACCTCAAATGGAAAAGTAGCGTAAAGGGAATATGAAAAAAGCGTGTCCATATACCTAGAACTAATTAGTTGAAACTGGACTACATTTCTGAGATTTAGTTTATTTATAAAGCAGCTTTGAGGGGGGGGGGTGGTGTCATTAACAAGAATGCATCTGTGATAAAAAGCATTATGCTTTAGGATAGATTTAAAGTGAAAAAGTGAATAGAGAGGGCAGACCAGACCGCTTCATTAGAAATATATTTTTGGATATCGCATACTACCCAGTATCTATATCAATCAGATATTAATACACATATACTGTATAAATACAAACAGAGATGGTCAGGGCACTCACAGGTATCTGAAAGAGCATAAATATTCCAAGGCCTTATTCAGTGATGTTTGAAGTCCTTGATAAAAGGTGGTGTATGCGTGGTTTATTACACACTTATTTAAATTAAGTGTTATAGCGCCACCTTCAGGAGAAGAACACTAGGCAAAAAACACAAGCACTACCTAAGGGGCAGCCCATGGTGTTGGCTAAACCCCAATCTGCTACAGGAAGCTTAGTTAGTCACAAAGCAATACATAGAGCAACAAATGCTCACATACATATCAACCAGAGGGGTTGGCGCTGTGTCTTTCAAGAGAGAAAGATTTTATGGGGAGTGCAAATTTATTATTTTCTCTTCCATTCACTGAAGGACATAGTGGAAATCTTTAGATTTTGACCATGGGGATGTCCTGAAGCAGTGTCAACCAAGGGGTGAGAAAAAACTACCGTATATACTCGAGTATAAGCCGTCCCGAATATAAGCCGAACGCTCCTCAGGCAGCAACAGCACGCTGCCGCCTATAGAAATCTATAGGTGACAGGTGTACAAGGACCTGCTCCATAAGGAATAAAATAGCCCAAGAGTGTTTGCTGCCTCTTCTAGGGAGCTTGGAGTAGGTGGGGATGCCCATGAAGCAAGAGAGACTGACAAGACAGGCACGGTCAGCTGACACAGAGGTGAACCACCAGGCACTGGAAACAACTGACAAATTCATGTAGCGAAAGTCACTACACTCGTGCACCAAGAGAAGTATGCCTTCCATGTGCGATGGTAAGCCTTGCGGGAATTGGCCTTCCTAGCTTTGAGTATTGTGGGAACCAATTTTTCCAGGGATTCCAGAGTCATGAAACCAGGGACAACTTGGACCCTGGTGCCAGACTAATTAGCCTGTCCACAGTCTAGCCTGATTTGCCACAGATGACATAATGTTGCACTGTAGGAGTCTAGGGTGGAACTGTATATGAGAATGGCACAAGGAAGCCATCATCACCCCGAGAAAATTCATGCAGGAGCTGAAGGACTACTGGACTTTAGAGTTGGAGATTGGGAACCGAGAGGCTGCAGTTACTACTAGGGAAGAATAACTCTGGCTTGAGCCATGTCTACAGTGAGACCCAGATATCCAAGTGAGGAGTCTGCTACAGTGCTAACATCTGAAGGTTCAGGACACAGCAAAACCTCTGCAAGGTCTGGACGGTTTGAGCCACTATGGCGGCCCGGACCTACATGGACTGTTCCCTCAACAGGAGGTCATCCGAATATCCCACAATGGACATTTCCTGACAGAACAGTCCAGCCGGTATAGAAAGAAGAACCTTGGTGAAAAACCGGGGTGCAGGAGAAAGGCTGAATGTCAGGGCCACACTAAGGGGAGGTAGGCATAGCAGAGATTTAACCAGAGGACAGCAGTTCAGAGTCTCCCTATTGAAATCATGCATACAAATGCATACAATATACATACAATATAGGATGATGGGGAGAGGAGGATGTCCAATTACCAAATCTAGAAAGGATGAAAAAGGGGGTACCCTTCCCCTTGACACACTGCCTGGATGGGAACACTGTCTGCTTGGGGGGGAACTGTGACAGAGCAAGAGTTCACTCGGTCATATGTACCCACTGTGGGCTACCTTTAGCAGATGGGGGTTTACCTGCTAGCAGGAGCCGTTCCTAGGCTGTGCTTTTGTTTTTATGCCTAGTGACCTACTCCTGAAGGTGGCGCGATAATTCAACGTTCAGAGATTACAAATCTTTGCTGAGTCCTTAAATTATCGAAAGAGAAAATAGAGAGTATCTATTGATAAGAGAAACAATTGATAGAGCTGCTATCGGCATTCATATGCAAATAATGACTCATGAAACAGGGCTCTGCATTAGAGGTAATACTGAAAGCTACTCACATCTTCTTCCTGACTGCCGTGAATAAGATCTATTAGTCGCTGAATAAGCCTTTCCTCATTCAACCACTGAAATGACAAAAATTGGAACAAAACAAATGAATAAATGCATTAGTGGCTTAATGGGATGCTACAATGAAAAGTGAATGTAACAATTTGCTACATTTTGCCAATTCTGTTTTAGTGACATTAGTCAAATAGAACTAAAGTCACACATGGACTTTAGGTTCACCTGTCCAAGATGCTGCTTAGAACTGGTATGCTTGTTCCTTCCATTTCCTTTTTTTAGCCTCAGACATACCTGGCAAAAAATTAGTGCACCAGTTAGAGCCGGAGGGTGCCCTTACCAGGTTTCAAGTGTTTCACCACTTTTTTTTTTTTTTGGGACACTAGACAGCATTCTGGGCAGGCATACCTGAAGACAGTTTATGAGTTAGACCCCATTCCCACCTATGCATCACGTTAATCGCATGTTACTGTGATTCACGCAAGCTATCGTACAACACACCTCCAATTGCATTACAGTTCAGTAGATGCGTTGCCATTCATTTGAATGGCACTTCAATGCACCTTTCGGCCGCAGTGCGCTGCAAAGGAGCAAAATGCACTAGGGCCACAACCAACTAATCGATAAGAGTTGTCAACTATTCTCATTATCGATTAGTTGGTTGGATCCCCTAGCTCTCTCCTCCACGCTGGGAGGAGGGCACAGCAAGCAGTGGGCGGGTGTAATAGCCAGCCTGTTGTTGCAATTTGAAATGGCCAATAGCAGGCTGGCTATTGCACCAGCCCACTACCTGTTGTATTTACATTCAGCTGCCATCTGCAGGATCTTGTCACTGGCAGGCGTCATTCACTGGCTGAAGCTATTCAAGCGCAATGTGCTTACAATACAATTATTTAAAAAAAAATAAACTTTTTATCTCATAGCTCTCTTCAGGGTCACGGGAGAACATATATCAACGTCCTCCCGTGACCCAAAACTCAGTATATAGCGACCCTCAGCTCACTATATACTGAGAGAGGCGCAGCCGGGATGGATCCCAACAATACTGTCGAGATCCACCCAGCTGGCTGATTGACAGTGGGCTCTGCCTATCTACAGGCAGAGCCAACTGTGCCCGCCCCCTTCCCGTCCGTTCCTCCAGTCAGCGCTGGAAGATCATAGAGGGGAGGGGGGGAATCCCTGCAGGACTAACCGTCACTGCTCTCTGCAGGGAGATGATCGGGAAATGAGCAATCGATTGTATGTGTTCGCTCACTTCACGATCATTAGAGCCAATGTGTGACATTTTCATTGTCACATGTCGGATCTAACTAGGAGGATGAGTGAAAATCACTCACCTCATAGTTCTCCTTTAACTATTAACAAATATGTATCTTATTTGTGCATCACTCAAATCATCTCTGAATTGGTGCGGACACTGTCCTCCCTTCTGGAGGGTGGCTACTTTTGTTCCCTGTGTGCGGTGTAAAGTAGCAACCGCTCCAAGCTCACTCCCGTGATGGACTACAATCTCAATACAAATTGGTAAACTAAACATGAGATTGTAGTTCATCACTGGAGTGAGCTTGGAGCTGTGACTACTTTACAACACACACACGGACCTTGGGGAATAAAAGTAGCCACCCTCCAGAAGGAAGGACAGTGTCAGCATGAATTCAGAGATGATTTGAGGATCTACAGCTGAGTGACACACAAATAAGATACATTTTTGTTAATAGTTAGGGTACTTAAATGCATTTTTGAGATTTAACTCCTGAGTTTAGTGTTAGTGTCACTGTTAGTGTTTAGTTTATTATCACTTAAAAGAACTGCCAGGACTACAAACCTGTAAAGGCCTCCCTTGTGTAGACATCTAGATGCCCTGAGATTGCTGCTGGATGCCACTGTCTTGGATGTGATGTCAGCAGCCCCAGCAGACTCAGAGCCATCATTCAAATACAAGTCTATATGCTCCTCCCCTAGCAACTACATAAAGGTTATGTAGGCAGGTGAAGGAGGGGTAGAGTAGCTGGGCCAGCAGAGAGAGTAATTAGATACTCCTAGAATTGGAGAGGGATATGAGTGCAAGGAGGGAGAGGGCTGTGTTAGAGAATTGACTCTAATTAGAATAGTTACATTTTCCGCCAACTTTAAAGGCACACTGCAAGTGAATAAAAAATATTTATGGAAAGAAAAACACTGACAGTGTGCATTTGAAAGACTTGTCTGTTCTGGGTCTTTGTTTGCTTTTTTTAGGCTGTCGGCAGGGTCTCTTTAAAAGGAACTGGGGGAAAATGTGCATCCCCCCAAAACCCCATTCTATCAAAAATGGGCTTTCTTATTTTTGAACATTGTTCTTATTACTCTGTTTCTCCAAAACTAAAATGTGTCACCATTGCCAACAAAACTATCATCTCAATAATGTTAACCTGTCACAAACTTGGGGGAAATAAAATATGGTAAATGATAAAACATGCATAAGCAGAGAACATCTTTACCGAACGTTAGCATTAAAATTGGAAACAAGCTATCATCTCTACAACATTTAACAAGTCTCACATTTAGCACTTCTTGTCTCAGGGGAGCCGGCTCCACACAACTGATGAGACGAAGTAACAAGTCCATCATAGCTGAAGTACCAATGTGATCCAGCACCAATGCGAGGAAGTGTTCCTTTTTCCTCAGGAACCCAATGACCTAAGTGGAAGGAGACGTTAATGCCAATTACCAACAGATCATGAAACTATCCAGAACAGAACAAAGTGTCATGTAATATTAGCTAAAGGCAAAGTTTCTAGACTTAGAAAAAATATTCAAGACTAGTGTATGATAGGGGTGGAAAAGAGAGTATGAAATTGAGGAGTCAGTCTGCCCAAGCCAAGAGCTAGCAGGATGGGGTTTTTTTCTTTAGGTGCCAGCTCCATAGACAACTAAAGAAAATCTCAAAATTTGGACGCCAAATATAATTTTTAAAGGAGCACTGACTTCCTGGCTCATGGGATTTGTACAGCCATGGTGATGTATGCCATGCTCTGAACCCGAGTCAGCATAAAGACATGAAAAATATGTGCATATAGCATTAAAAAAAGCAAGCCAACCTAACTGATCTGTGCTACAGAGATACGTTGGCTGCTTTTTCTGGCTTTTTATTTTTAAACTGTATTTAAAAAAAGAAAAAACCTTTTTAAAAAGGGTTTTTCTCCCAGTTAGTTTCACCTGGTAATCCTACCAGTACTCACTCCCTGTCCTGTCCTGTCCTGTAATTATAGAAAAGCAGCACTGGCACCCTAGGCTGCTCACTGCAGATTTAAACTTCAGAACACATCCCAATCTTTTTATCTACGTAAAATAGTGGTGAGGGGTTGTGTAGTACACAAAGTGAACTGGACAGGGCAAAGAACACTGCATGAGATTTGAGTGCTGCAAGGAATATACAGGAATTCACAAGCTCTCTGGGCTTCTGGCAGGATCAGCAGTTTTGCACTTAAACAGGTATACAAACTACGATGCCAAATATCTTACGTACAAATATGGGCACTCATAGATTAGCCCACAAACACACACACCAGATATTGTATATAACTATATAGATATTATTTATATATACACACACACGCTGTATATTATACAGTGGAGCTCCTCCCCATAATTCCTGGCTCTAATAAGCATTGATGGGGTATGATAGGTGTGCTTGCAGTGGCCAGGCAGAGAATCATTCACAAAGCTCGAACTCATAGAGGCAACAGGTGAAATCTCTCAGAAGCAGGTCCTTTCCTCTCAGTGCTAGTACCTCGTGTGATAGGATATTTATCATGAATCACATGATGCAAAACACATGGAAATCCAAATCCCACTTTCCAGCAGTGCACACCAGCTGCCAATCTGACAAGTAGGTCCGAGTAGTAAAGCTTATGGGCTGATCATCCCATCTGCCATGGCATCCTGGCGATTATGTTTTCTCTGATCTTTCGGTTTATGTTTATATGTTTTAAATGATTTTTTTTTTCTTTTAGCAAGCATTGTAAAGGGCCACAGTCAAATCACTCAACATCAATAAAAAATCCTCTCACTTGCTCAGTTTTCCTTGCTATCAAGTTTCCGATGGACTTGCTAAAGAAGCTGGCAAGCAGCGGGTTAAGAGGGGGTTCTTGTTGTAGGAAGTCATAGAGGATGTTGAGTAGGTGCTCATCTTCACCTAATTTGTCATTAATTTGTGGCACATCACACGTAAGCAGTTCACAGGCAATGTTAGGATACCTGCCAGAAAATCAGATATATAATATAGGTTACATTACAAAAGATCAGCGCAAAATTATTATTCACTTTATAAAGGAACTCTAGTCTAAACAAACATTCTTCTAAGTTTTAAATGTTATAACTGTTCAAACATCTAAATATAACCCCATTAACAATATTCTCTTGGTTTAAAAAGCTGAGAGGGTAGCTAATAAGCAGATTAGCTGATCCAGACCAAACGGCCTGTTCCTCAAATTATATGTGTAATATATATATCTAGTTGTGTATTGGAGTCCCACTGCTGACTCCTCTCTGCTTGCAGGTACTTCCGATCCAGCGGTGTCTGCATGCGGATGCATGCTGGTGCACGCGTCCATAGACTTACCTTGCGTCTCTGCTCGTCTCCCGACCGAGAATCCGAACTGCGCATGCGCCCGCCCCAAGATGCTTTGCGGCCGTCCGAGCAGTTCCTGATTCATAGCGCGGGAGCGCGCAGCGATAGCGAGGCAAGTGTAAACCGCTGTTAAAGCGTGGTTTTTTTTTACTTTTTGCCTATATCTACTGCTTGCTGGCAGTAGATATAGGCAAAAAAAAAAACGGAGGGTTTAGAACCCCTTTAAGAAAAATCAAGGCCTTCTTTTGGGGATATTGTCTTGCAAAAATCATTTTTTTTTATGCAATTCACACAAAATAAAAACAGTGTTAGTTTAAAAGAAAATAGTGTTACGTTAGATACAAAGCATATATTTTATTGTAATATTTGTCTTATTCTACATTACACTAAAATTATGATTCTGATGCAAAGCATTGCAAAGTAATTTACGTGTAAAATAATTTTCTTTGAGTACATCACAGGGCATAGGATGGTAATCTGATGCCAGTGGGTTATGTACACACCTTCAGAAGACTGGACACTGCAAGGATAGGCCATATAACCCCTACCACCCCCAGCCCACCTCGGTTTTGTAGGAAGCACTACAAGTGTGAATCACAGAAAGATAGGAGGGACCTGTGTCTTCTGATGTGCTACAAGAAACGGATTTTACAGATAAGACAAATATCCTATTTTCGTAATTGTATATCATGGACAAAAGGATGGTAATCTGACTCCAATGGGATGTGCAAAAGCTGTCCAACCGAGGGGCAGGCAATACAGCAAAACAAAGCGCAATCAGCAGTCAGGCCGAGAAGCATCCCAAAAAGGAACCAACAGAAATAAGGGCCCAACAGTTCACAGGACTGCCTGAAGAACCTTACAGCCAAAACTAGCATCTGCCGCAGTCTTCATGTTCACTTGGGAAAAGAGAACTAAGGACCTGTTGGCAGCCTTGAAGATCTGAGAAACTAAATCCCCATGCCAGGAGGTCAACGTCTGATTTCTCCCACTTGTGACAAATAGTATAAAATACCTCCAGGTAAAGAGAGCATTACCTGGGGTCAAGACATTGATGTCTGACAAAGTCCACCTGTCAATTTTCTACGCCTGGGATAGAGGGCAGGGACATGATGTTCTGCCTAAGCCAGAATCAGGCCTGCTTAGATTTGAGATACATGACTCCTGGCGCATCCCTAATCGCTGATGTAAGCCACAGTCATTTAATTGTTTGAATCTTGGTCAGGTGACCTCGCAACTGAAGGGTCCCGAGTTGAACAAGCAAATTTCCCTTAGTTCCAGAAAGTTGACCAGAAGCATAGTTCTCTTCAACGACCAATTCCCCAGTACTAAGAAGGTACCCAGGACTCCTCCCCAGCCTGAACGGCTGGCATCTGTCCTGAGCACCTTCCAGGTCATCAGGAGGATTGGATTTCCCAATTCCAGTGCCAGACTGGAAATCCACCATGCCAGGGCAAGCCTGGGCTTGCTGTACAGGTGAATGGGGCGATCCAGAGACTGGGCCTATTTGTCCCATGCAGCCAGAATGTGGAGCCTGCGCCAACTGTTGACTGAAGTCATCCAAGTATTACAATATTGGAACACCCTCTGAAAGAAGCAGGACCAGGACAGGGGGGGTCAGCACCTAGATGAAGATCCATGCAGTGGACAGGCCAAAGGGAAAAGCAACGAATTGGTAATGCTGCATGTAAAGCAAATATGTTGCGCTCGGTCTATGTGAACCAACTACACACTAAAGTGTTAATAAACAAATCTGTGTAAAATTACGACAATCCGTGTGAAAAAATATTGATGCAAGTGAATTAATTTTCATATGACTTGAAGGTTCAACACACAAACATAATAAGAATAATAAAAATCAACATTGGAACATTCAGAATTAGTGCCAGTGATCAACCTCATTGGTTCAGCATGTATATCTCAAACATGCGAACCTCTGGCTAGCGATGTAGTAAAACACAGAAAACTTACATTTAACCCCTTCATGACTGAGGCCTTTTTTTTCATTTTTTGATTTTGAGAAGGAAGAAGGGGCTCTGTGGTGTATTAACACTTATTAACAGTATTAACACTTTAGTGTGTACTTGGTTCCTATAGACCGAGCGCAACATATTTGCTTTACATTTATTCACCTATAGACATTGTTGTGGCTGGTCCAATCAGGTAGTTAGGCACGCATCCCCAGCGCAGTGACTTCTGTGATATACTGGTAATGCTGCATGCCCACTGCAAAGTGCAGATGGAGCTGATATGCAAGAAAGGCGGGAATGCACAGAAAGGCATCCTTGTCTATGGAGGCCAGAACATTTCCCAGGTGAAGAAATGATTCACTAGGCAGATTTCTCACAGAACTTTTGGACTCTGTTTAGAATCTTTAAATGCAGTAAGATGCCACCATTTGCCTTAGGGGCAGTGAACAGGTTGGAATAAAAACCCTGAAACCTTTTTGCTTCTGAACAGGGGCGATGGCCCCCTGAGAGAGGGGTTGCTCAAGAGCAGTGAGAAGATCTGTCCCACCTTTGAGGAGAGGTTGGTAAATTTACAAGCATGAAGTAAGCAGGAGGCAGTGAAAGAAATTCTAATTTGTAGCCCCTGCAAAAACACAGCTCTCAAACCAAGCATTGGCAATGTCCTGGGGCCAGGTGGTGGTGAAGACCAATAGACTTCGCCCCCCTATTTTCATTGCGAAGAAGGCTTAATCCTGGATTTTGTGGGTTTTGAGGGCCATGCTTTGCAATGGAACTGAGTGGCTAGCTTTGACTTTGTTCCTGAGGCCTGACAGTGTCGAAAGGAATTCCCTGTTGGAGGCTCTGCCTTCTTTTTCCGAGGCTGTAAAAAGGAGTGTGAAGGAAAAGTCTTTGCGGCTCAAGGCATTTTTAAGTATCCCAGAGTAGTGAGCTTTGGTAAGGTCAACGCAGGTGGCTCATGGAGGCCTAGTGAAAAATGCTGTGCTTAGTGTGCAGGCAGATAGAGCTACGTGCTGGAAAAATTAAATGGTGGGCGCATGTGCTGTACAGTCACAAAAGAAAAAAAGGCTGTGCAGGCAAACTAGTGGCCCCAGGAGCATGAGGAGAAAATGCAGGCTGTCCCCCACTGCTGGGTGCAACAGAATGTGTTTCAGCCAGCACTCCCTATTTCACACTATAGGGACTATAACGCACAGCAGACTGGCCACCTAAGCTGAGCAGAAGCCCTGACTTACATTAGACTTACAGTTCCTGTGGAAGGTGGCAATATGCATTTCAAGGGAGAAGCCCCATCTAGATCTAAATCCTTCTAGTGGAATCTTCAGGGATGAGGCCCAACCAGCAGATGGACCAAAGTCCAGGAGTTTTATAGAACCCTGCGGCCAACTCAACATGATGTGCCAAGGTGAGGCCCCCCACACCAGGTTCCAGTGCCCAAAGCAACTTTACAGGCTGACCCTGCATCTTCTTTCTGGTGGGGTCTGGGTATAGCCCCCTTAAGGGTCAGCCAAAAATAAAATCCATCTGGAAGGCTGGAAATGGCAAATCAAAGTTGTAAGGACAGCCCTTTATGCAGCCTGTGCCCAATCACCTAAAAGCAGCTGCATAGTCCACTGGTCTCAGATTACCATTCTGTGTCCTGTGATTTACTGCAAGAAGGATTTTACATGTGAAACAAAAATCCTATTTTCTTCATTTCTAAATAACTTTGAAATGCTCTGCATCAGAATCGTGATTTCAGTGCCAATTTAAATAGGACAAATTATAAAATAAAATGTATACTTTTATCTACATTAAAGGAGAATTATTAGGCGAGTGATTTCCACTCAGCCTCATAATCTGAGCTGACCTAGAACGTTAGTTTGTGTTCTCCCGTGACCCTTAGGAGAACTATGGGGAAAAGCCCTGACCCCATAGTTCTCCTTTAACACTAATTTCTTTTAAACACTAATAAAAGTAGAAAATAAAATGTGTTTTTTTAGGGGTTTTTACTGCAACACAAATGCATAGATACATAAATACATTGTTTTTTTAAATGCGATTTGTACAGAGAAGAATGCTGATAAACTGCACTAAAGTAATACATTCATTTTCTTTTAGGCTATTCTACAATTCACTATACATGGTAGAAATTACCTCCAAAATAAAAAATGTTTGTTAGTCTGATTTCTGGCAAGAAAGTTCTTATAATAGTGGCGCAAAACTGCAAGATTCGATATATAACAAAAATAGTTTGCCCACATAGTAATATTAAACCATGATGACTTTATTGTAAGTATGAATACATTAGTTACATCAGTGTACAGCAAGGATTGAACCCTTTGATACTGGGTTTTACTCACTTGAATCGGACCTTCTCCTCCATATCTTCAGGAGGTTTTTGCGTGATGAGTTGAACAAGCTGCTCCATGCACTGAGCCTGGCTAAGGAAGTCCAGCAGCCGCTGGTTCTGAGCCTTGCACTCCTGAAGCAAGTCATCCTCATCCATTAACTCCAGCAAGGTCACATCCTCCTTTTCCAGGAGCTTGTCCACATGCGACGTTGTGTTCAGGTCAAACTTCCAGAACATTTTGGCGGAATGCTCCTCACGTAGCAGCGAGCTGAGAAAAAAGTGAGATAAATCAATTAGACTGATGACTAGAAAGCTAGCATAGCATCAATTCATCCTGGAACATCCAGGATGTGTGCTTTCTATCCTAGCAACCTTCAGGCTCCACAAATTATTCTGGTTTCAAAAGTTATTAAAACAAACTAATCATAAAAGGTATCACTAGCTGTTTATTTAAGTTAAAATCCAGGCGAATATATATTAAAAACCTGAATCCAGGAAAAACACAGAAAGAGCCATCAGTTTTAGCCAACCAGGCTCTAATGGACTTCACAGTCAGCTGGATATGCAGGAAGGTGACACGGCTGTATTCCACAATCGTAATAAAGTGGTATTAACATCCTGGCTATATAGTGGGGCAGGGCAGTGATGGACAAAAATGGCTGTTAATCAAATATTTTAGCAGCGGAAACAGTTGACAATCACGTATTTCACCTATGTAACAGTTTGCAATTACTTGTAACACTTCATAAAGTTTTGCTATACAATACACTAAAGTTACCCCCCTTATATCCTAATTTAGAAACTACCAATATTATTTGTGAATGTCTAGTTGTTGTAACTTATTGGTTGCTGCACGCTGCAACGTGTAGTAACAACCATGCAGAAGTTATCGAAAATTCTGCAGGTCTGATTTTTGGCCTGTAATGGTATGTCAGGCAGACAACTGAAATAAATAGGCTTCCTTCACTCAACAGACGTTAACATGTGTGTGTTAAATGCAGCAAAATGGACCTCCCTGGTATGTGACTGGGCCTTTACCACTGCATTGTAGTAGCACACGTTACATGCGTTAGAACACTATGGTGCCATATATCGTAAATGGCATCCCAATGCACCTTCATTGCTGTGCATGTACTGTGCAGAAATCTCGCTGAAACTCAATTTTTACCAGCTGGGGAGGAAGGGGGAGGGAATAAAATGACAAGAATGTGGTAAATTTAGCTGATCCAGATGGTAATACCTTTCAATCCTAAGCACAAAAAAAAAACACAAGAGAAAAAAAAAACCCCATAGTAATAAAATACCACATTATGCTTTATTTACACCCTTTAAAAAAAATAAAATATGGCCTCTGAAAAGGGATCTAATTTAAGGATAAGGACAGATAACACCTTGCTAAAACTTATTTGATATTTAAAAAGGTGGTGGAAAATTAAAGTCATAGCCTTTAAAGCCCAACTCCAGACGCAGCTCTTTTTATGTTCTTTGAAATCTTTAATCTAACTCACATTAACACTTTCACCTTTCTTTTTACTACTTCAGGAGCACTCTAAGCTCCGCTAAACTATTCTGATATCAGGGATGACATTTGTGCTGTGCTTTGTGAATGGCACAGCAGAGTGAGGAGGGTGGAAGCACAATACCAAAACTCGTTCCTCCCCTAGCTTTCTCTATCAGAGAGCTCCAAAGGTAATACAAAAATCAGAGTGTTAATGTGAGTATTACAAATTTAAAAAAAGAAAAAACACATAAAAAGAATTGTGCCTAGAGTTGGGTTTAAAATATGTTCATCTTCTTCAATAACGAATAAATAAATTAAAGGTGATGCAATATATTTTTTACTGGATAATGGCGTACACACTGATCACTCTTTGTTACAATATCACTAAAATGCCAAAGTCATGTAGGTCTTACCTTGTAAAGAAACAGAGTTAGTCTCACAGTAGATATGGAAGATGACCATTCACATACATTTGGGCTGGAAAGTGAAAAACACAACGGCCAGTGTACTGCAGCAGTGTTCCTGTAAGTACACAAACAGAAAATGTCCTTAAATTTGCAGAACACAAATCGTGTGACTGAAGAATAATGTAATACACTACGCCTTACATTACAACTAGGGATGCACCGATACTAGTATCGATATCGGTGCCGATACCGAGTATTTGGGTAATGACACGCTGCCCGGCTTCCTGATTGGTCGGGAAGCTGGCCAACAAGGAAGCTGGGCGCCGTGTAATGACGCAGTGCCTGGCATTCTGATTGGCCGGGAAGCCGGCTTCATGCTCCCTCGTCATCTCATGACGAGGGAGCACGGAGCTGGCCTCCCGGCGTCTCAGAACGCAGGGTGCCGCGTTATTACACGGCGCCCAGCTTCCATGATTGGCCAGCAAGACGGCTCCGGCTGGGTACCGGAGGAAGGCCGCTCCTGGATGGAGAGGCCCCGGGGGGTGACAGGCTGGACATTCTGAGGTAAGAGGGGACAGACGTCCAATACACTGTGTATCGGATGTGAGGACGTCGAGGAGACAGGCTGGAGGGAGCACTAGAAAACGTCTGTGAATCACTACTGTTCCATGTAATTAAAGCTTGCGGAATAAGTATTGTTTATATAGAAGTTCCGTGTGTATTCTATTTTTTTTTCCATATCTGTAGTGGTCCAGCATGAAACTTTCCCTCTGTAGGAGCTTCCTGTAATAAAGACCAGTCATTGTTGCACTCTCTGCTTGTACAGAGTGACTTGTATCCGCCCCCTCCATAGTCTTCTGCAGGCAGCCTGTAGTGGGTGGACTTATGGGGTCCACGACACAGCTCTGCTCTCTATATAGATTGTACATGTACAGCACAGTGATAACTGGCAAAGAAATTTGCTGCACACCAAGTGTATTTACACCCTTTGTGGCTATTGAGGAATACATTTAAATAAATGTTTTTGCACCCGGAGTTGAGCTTTAAATATACAGTGCAAATGTGCCCAATATGTAAAACTAAATACATTTCTAAGTAATCGTGATCAAATGGTAACACAATACCAACATAGTTGCAATATTAAAACGGCTAAAGTACTGGTATGCATGATACAAAATGGTAAATGTACTTTCTGAGCTAACTAAATCTTTGCTTTACTCCATTTACATCATATGACACTATCATGTTACAAGGATAGATGGAAAAATATTACACATCATGTGGCTGGGAATAAAAATACTGCAGGGTACAGAATGGAAGGTGTCCCTGCAATGTTATTTTTAGTATAGTGAATGCCATAGTGCAGGCATGGCATTGCAAGTTACTTAATATTGACACAACCACTGATCATTTGTTTCCATAGAACAGAAATGATGTTATTGTCATCATTATACATTTTAAGCTATTAATTAGGTTAAAAAAGAATCTGCTCTGCCTAAAAATGGGAAAGATTAGTGGAATCATAAGCTGATAGAAACTGGGTCATGCTGACAGTATTTTACAATACGAATCCTGAATGATGACATTAACATATAAATGGTAGATGTGACATTTCCAATGATTACCTCAATTATATATTATAATCTTCAAAAGGTTAAACATCAGTCAAAAAAACCCCCAATAGAATCAAACTATAATAGGAAAATACAGCTGAGCAATTGTATTAAAAACAAATTAAGTATTTCTATACATAAATAACAAAAAATCAATATGTATTACCGTCTCCTGTCTACAAGTACATATGCGAGTTTCTACAGGAGTTTTCATATAAACAGAATAAGTTATGTAAAAATTCTTGCTACTCCACTTTCCTAAAGGCTGGGTCACACTAATTACGTTCGAGCTACGTTGCCTGTTTATTGCAGCGCAGCCCGAACGCAACAGATAGACTTGGTTAACACCACCGTGTTCCGGTGGTGTGCGCTTAAAAAAAAAAAAAAATAAAGGGCAGCGTGCATTACTTTTTTTATGCACACCACAGTGAGACGCAGTACAACCGCGTCACACTGAGGTAAGCCCACAGAACTAGGGCTGCAACAACTAATCGATTGAAAAAGTTGTCAACATTTTCAATCATCGATTAATCGGCTTCCGATTAGTTGGCCCTGTTCACGGCTCCACACACGCTGCGCGCCGCACCTCCTCTCCACCTCATGCTCGCCGCTGGCAGACCCGCCCACCCTCAACCACGCCAGCCGCCGATAGACAGGCTCGATCTCAGAAGCAAGTTGCTGGAAGACTGCTCAGGTAAGCCTGCACTTTCCCCCACATGGTGCTCTATAATGTATTGCTGGGATAGTGGGATTTGTATTTCTCTATTGCTGATGGTACATTGTGCAGTATATTATAGAGTGCAATGTACCATCAGCTATAGAGGAATACAAATGCAGAATACCACCAGCTATAGAGGAGTACAACAAATCCCAGCAATAATACATTATACTGTGGTTCAATGCCGAATACTACCAGCTATAGAGGACTACAAAACCCTCCTGTGATGGACTACAATCTCAATACAAACTAGTAGTCCATCGCTGGAGCCATTTTAAAAAATGTATTGTATTTAATTTTTTATCCGATTAATCGAACTTAATAAATCGGCTAACTAATTGCTTTTGAAAATAATCGTTAGCTGCAGTTCTACACAGAACGTAATGACATGTCACTTTTGCTCAATTAAGCGAATCAGAACTGTTCGGGGACATGCACACCAGCAGCCGCGCGGTTGAACGTACCCATGAGGTGGCTGCACTAGCCCTACATGGTGTCCCAGTAGAGCTAGCTTAGCTACCCTCCTTGGCGCATTCCACTATGGGACTACTATAATAGGTGCAATGCAACCTCCTAAAAGAATAGCAGCATGCTGATTCTCTGGCAGAACTGTCCACAACTTAGCTGACAGTGCAAAGCAAAGCTTGGCCTGTATCTGCTATAGATATGGTGTTTCCTCTGTTGCTACCGCTTGTAAGAAGTACAGCAAAGCTAATGATGGGCCCTGTAGAACACCTGCACAAGGCATCATGGGATATGTAGACTGTGGCTAGCAGCACATGTGACCATCATGATGTGTGCACTGCTTAAGCCTTAGGGCCCATTCACACCACATCCAGATCATCTCTAGACCAAACCAGATTTTTTTTCTGTACCCAAAATGCATCCTAATGTATCCCCATGCTATTTCTGGCCTCTGTTAACGCCAGCGCAGTCCGTTCCAGACCAGACCAGATACTGCATGTTTTAATTTGTCTGGTTTGGAATGCACTGGAACGCATGGAAATGCATCAAAAATGCATACAAACGCACTGGAACGTAACTGAACGCCTATTTTAAAGCTAAAAAAAAAGCCCCCCCCCCCAAAAAAACAGCTCCAGGGCGCAGTAAAGTCGATGTAAAAACGCGGCAAACGCAATGCACTGCGTTCTAGATCTGGTCCAGAAAATGGTGTGAACCTGCCTTTGAACTGTAAATTCAGAGCATTGCTTCAGTGGTTTGCTGAGCAATCATACAATAACCATACGATTAAGAAAAAACAAAACAAAAATGACTTCCAGCAGAAGTTATCATGAGGTAGGCCAGGGATGGACAAATTCCAGGAGCCAGCTACTCAATGCTCCTTTGACAGCTGGCGCCTAAAACTAAATCCTGGCTCCTGGATTAGACAGACTGGCTAAGGTATTAGTATTTGAAGAATACTCTAAACTAGAATTCAGAAACAGAAGTGCCTAAAATGTCACAATGGAGATTATACAGCCATGATGTTCTAGATAAGGGAGTGAAGGCACCAAGATTTGGACAGTGATTGAACGTAGGACCAAAAGGAAAAGGAGGGGGGGTATTATAAACACTTTTGGAAAGATTGAGTTTTAGGAAGGGGTATACCATCCATACTGAGATGTCAGTTCATAAATTAGGGATGTGTGAGGGGACATTAAAAAAGGGAACTTGTTATATACCTCTAGTATATGCATGAGGTCATAATGCAATGTGCTAGCTGGCAATATGAGATTTAGTTTATAAAACCCACTTGGTATGAATTTGTGTCAACATTTGTTCACATATAAGTCTATTGGAATTCAAAACCCATTTGAAAAAGGACAAATGCTGGCCAGGAGGACGTCCGGTAACAAACGCAAACTAAAGGTGGCCATACATTGTTAGAGTTTCGTTCGGAAATCGTACACAAACAATCTTTCAAACGAAGACTGAACAGTTGATGGTACAGCAGCGATTTTCCTTTTTGCTAATGTAAACAAAATTTTTAGTATGGTAAGGTTGCAAAATTTTTCTCCAAAACGTTATTCGTTGAATGAGTGGGGTTTTTGTTCGTCCAAAATCTCCCCAAGAACACAGCACATGCACAAAAGTAAAGCTGCGTAGGTCAAACGAATACTTTCTCTGCATGGGTCAAACGAATATTTCCGTCATTCATCAAACAAGTGTTGGTTAGTATGGCTGACCAACGGTTTCCAAAATTGTCATTTGACTATGCTTGATGGGGAATTCTAGGTGTAATCGAATTAGGGTTCGTGGCAGAAACAAAACCTTTCCAATGAAAAGCGTACAATGTATGGGCACCTTTACTTTTCCCTCTACCAACCATACACTGCCTTTACTACTGCCAAGCATTCTACAAGTATGAACTGTGTTTCTGTTCCCAGGTTCTGAACAACAATCATAAAGAGTATCAACAGGTTATGAGGATGGAGATAAAGTACAGAAATGCTCTACTGACCCATGGCCTATCACAGATTGCCAACCAAAACGCAGCAGTTGATTTAAAAGGAAAAAAAAAGTAACGCTGATCACGCAGGATTTTTTAGATCAAAATAATTCTAACAAAAATCTAGATTTTCATTTGAAAAATCCGATTTGTTTGTGGTCTATATGAGCACAGGTTTGCTTGAAGTACTACCGTGTTTCCCCGAAAATGTCTTATATTTTTTCCCCCCCAAAAAAACCACACTAGGCCTTATTTTCAGGGGATTACTTTTTTTTTTTTTCACGTGCAACAGAATGAAAAAATACTGCCACACACAGTGTCACATTACCTGCCGG